GAGTTCTCAGGTGTCTGGAAATGGAAAGACAAGAATTCTGGCAGTTGGAATCTTTGTTTTCAGTACTAAGTGGATGGTTTATTCCTGTCTCCATTGCCAGGAGTTCCCAATCTGATCACAGCAGACATGATTAAGGAAGGAGCCGCAGTTATTGATGTGGGGATAAATAGAGTTCAGGACCCTGTAACTGCAAAACCCAAGTTGGTTGGTGATGTGGATTTTGAAGGTAAATGAGGTCATTTTTTTAAAAATTATAAAACCAATAAATACTGCCTTTAGGATTTATCATTTACTTTCTATTTAACTTTTAAATTTGAGTTATCCTGGAAATACTGTCTAAACTATTTTTCACAAGAAATAAGATGATTCTTATTTTAAAATGACACCTATTCTAGAAATAGTTTATATTTTTGTGTCATAAAGTTATGGAGGGCAGGTATTCATTTTCCAGGGAGTTTTGTTTTCTTTTTTTTGTTGTTGTTGTTGTTGGGCTTGGGCACTGTCCCTCAGCCCTTCAGCTCAAGGTGAGCCATAGAGCCACTTTTGGTTTTCTGGAGATAAAGAGTCTCATGGACTTTTCCTGAGGATTACAGGTGTGAGCCACCAGCGCCCGGCTAGTTTTGTTTTCTTTAGACTTAATAACTGAAACAACTTAATGACTTTTAACCAGTTTGAAATTTTAATGAAATCATTTTCTTAAGTTTCCTAAAGTATTAATCATTTTCATTGAAAGGAAAGATCATAGACATGGTCAGTGAAGAAGTCCTGTAACTTCTCCTTTCAGTTCTTTTTTTTTTTTGGGTCCAGTCATGGGGCCTGAACTCTGGGCCTGGGCGCTGTCCCTCAGCTCTTCAGCTCAAGGCTAGTGCTCTACCACTTGAGCCACAGTGCCACTTCTGGCTTTTTTTTTTTTCTGCTTATGTGGTGCTGAGGAATCGAACCCAGGGCCTCATCCATGCAAGGCAAGTGCTCTACCACTGAGCCACCACCTTCCCAGCCCATCCTTTCAGTTCTTAAGATATTTAACTGAATTTTATGCTGACAATCTTTTTTCTTTTTTGTGGTTGCACTGGGTTTGAGTTCAAGGTTTCCTCCATGTTAGACAAGCATTATACCACTTGAGCCACGCTTAAAACTTACGGTGATAATCTTACTAACTTTCTGTTTCAGACTCAAGTTTAGGTATCACAGTAAGTCCTTCTTCCCCCCCCCCCCCCCCCCCACCCGTTTTGTCCATTGTGGGGCTTGAACTCCAGGCCTGGGCACTGTTCCTTAGCGCTTTTGCTCACAGCTAGCACTTAGCACTTTGAGCCACAGCACCACTTCTGGTTTTCTAGTAGTTAATTGGAGAGAAGTCTCATGGACTTTCCTACCTGGGCTGGCTTTGAACTGTGATTCTCAGATCTCAGCCTCCTGAGTAACTAGGATTACACATGTTAGCCACCAGCACCTGGCTTCTAAGTATTTCCTTTTCTTTTTTTTTTTTTTCTTTTTTTTTTTTGGTAGGTCCTGAGGCTTGAACTCTGGGCCCTGGGTGCTGTCCCTCAGCTCTTCAGCTCAAGGCAAGCCACAGTGCCACTAGTATTTTCTTTTTCTTTCCTCTTCTTATTTTTTTTTTTTTTTTAACCAGTTGTTTTTTTTTTTTAACCTGAATGCTAGGTCTGGGCGCTGTCTCTCAGCTCTTCAGCTCAAGGCTAGCACTCTACCACTTGAGCCACAGTGCTACTTCTGACTTTTTCTGCTTATATGATGCTGAGGAATGGAACCCAGGGCCTCATGCATGCAAGGCAAGCACTCTACCACTGAGCCACCATCCCAGCCCTAATATTTTCTTATTAAGAAAATTTTTTAGAGGTCCAGGATGTGACTCAAGGTAGAGTCCTTGCTTGCCTAGCATGTAAGAAGCCCTGAGTTCAATCCTGAGTATTGAAAAAAGACTTAATGTTTTTTACGTTTTGCTTTTCACATATTAAAAAATTACTTGTTTGGTTGCTTTGGAGATTTTTACTTTAATATATTCCTTTTTAAAATGTATTTAATATGGTGGGAAAATTAGCTGATAAGCTATACCACTCATTAAATGTACATTCATTGACTAACTGTATACTAAGTGCATGTTGTTTTCAAAACATTACCCTTGGGGAGGAAGGGAGGAGGATGGGATGGGAAGGGGAAACAAAGGAGGAGGCTACAATGCTTGATAAGAAATGTACTCATTATCTTGCTTATGTAATTGTAACCCCTCTGTACAGTATTTTCACAATTAAAAAAAAAAACATTACCCTTGATTAATGTATATGTAATTTTTTTCAGGGGCATGTTTGTTACTGTTTTTTTCTTTGCATACATTCATGATATGTTAAAGATACGTTCTTTTGCCTAACTGTAGCTGCCTGTCTTGTTTCTATGCAGAAGTCAAAAAGAAAGCTGGTTACATCACTCCAGTCCCTGGAGGTGTAGGTCCCATGACAGTGGCAATGCTCATGAAGAATACCATTATTGCTGCAAAAAAAGTGCTAAGGCCAGAAGAGCTAGAAATGCTGAAGTCTAAGGAGCGTGGAGTTGCCACCAATTAACTGTGTCACCCATGCCATGAGCAGCACTCCAAGCCAGTCCAAGAAGTAAATCAGGCCAACAGAAATGCAATATGTTTAATTTATTCTACTGAAATGATGCTTTGTATTTATTGAAAGTTTAAATGGGTGTGTGTACGCGTGCTTGATGTCACCAGGAAGCCCTCTGGTGTCATATTGGATCATCTGATCTAGCCAAGAGAAACTGTTTACCTGAAGATAACATTGGAGGTGCTGTTACACTGAGAGTGGATGCCTAACTTTATCACATACTTAAGTTAAAAATCTGCCTTTTCTAGGAGTGCATTTCCTAAGTGCTATTCCAATAAGAGTTGATACTCATTTTAGGTTCCAAACCTTTTGAGTTCAGCTGTTCAAACCAAAGGAAAAACGTTGCTAGTGAAAATTAGGGAGAAGGTAAAAAGGATTTAGTGGAGAAAGTGACTTATTGGAGAAAAAAATGACCTTGATTTCTGTATAATACTGAGTGTAACTAATTTATCTAAAGAACTGAATTGGCTAAGGAAAACTACATGTGAATTAGTTGTCGTTTTGTGGCTTAGTCATTAGGGAAATGTTGCCCTTATATGTATTTTATCTTTCTGGGAGCTCTCTCCATTTTAGCTTTCTAGGACTGAAAGGTTTATTTTATAAATTATTTGTGTGTACTGTTGTATTTGGCTTTTGTTATATCTTTACATTTTGTTGTTCAAGTTTTGTATTGCTAGGGGGAACCTGTGTGGTTTCTCTGTTATATCTTGAAACTTATTTTGGAAAAAACTTGGACTTGATAATCACTAGGGCAGCTTGTATAACTGTGCAACTTACTTTCCACCAAAGATGCAGCAGCACCTGCCTGCTTTTCTTTACATATTCTGTTGGCTTTCCTGAAAGATATTTAAGATCTTCAGTTAATGTCAAATCTAATCAGACTTTCTGATTAAAGGGTTGTTTTGTTAATAAAACACATCTGTCTGGTGTGGAATGAGTTTCTAGAATACTATTTTCTTACTGTCTTAGTTATGACTTTTATTCCTGGATACATCAGTCTGTTTATTTCTATATTTGGTAACCCCCAACTCATAACAAATTTGTTTGAGTAACTAGGGAGAAAACAACCTACTCCTTTCACATACTGATAAGTAATACTAACAAGTCCAAAGCTTAATATCTGAAATTCAATTACGAGGTTCTAAGTGCTTTGTAAGTCATGTATTCAATTTATGTATTACAACAACGGGTTTTCCTGTTGCTGAGTTCTCCACTTGTGTACACAATGGAAAAACGTTATATCCTGTGAGCATTAGTTTGATTTAAGATTGGAAGATTCTTGGCTGGGTATATTTTGAGGTAGGGATAGGTTCTTGTGTGCTATCAAAAAGTTGTTTGGAGTTTGTTCACTCAGGAAAAAGGAGCTTTTGTCTTAGTCAGCTTGATCTGTTCCTTCACTGTACCTCTGCCAGTGTTATGAGTTTGCTGGGAGGTTTTTGTAAGTGAATTATGGCCCGTATATGCATGCCTGCTGACTTACCTAAACTAATAAACATGGAGTAAGATTAGCAGACAGGATTAAGTTTTATTGAAGCATGCTTACATTAAAAGTAAGGAAAAAACTACTGACAACATGGAGAAGCAACAGTATGTCAACGTGTTGAAAGCTACTGAAATTAAACTTCATATACATACAAAATATAAACGATATATAAGGTAAAAATTACATGGATCAATTTACAACAACAACAACAAAAAAACTAACATTGCAGTTTTCCAGCTTGTTTGATTAATCAAGCATATTTACTCCTGAATCCATAACATTTCTACAGTTTAATGTGGACGAAGTGCTACTGCAAATCAGCCAGGCTTTCAGGCTGAAATATTAAGGATGCAATGGCACAAAGGAAGAAGGTAAAATGAAAAAGAATTTAAGTTTGATGTGGTGGTGGATTAGTGAACAGCTAATGTTGCTATCAGGAGTGGTAGAGGTCCATACCTCTTGGCAGTATCCTTTTGGAGGGAGTTAAGATTAACTGTAATGAACACTTTATATGGCCCACACACTATGCTAGGCTCTGAAGATGTGCTGGCATTCAAGGTGTTAGTGATCTAGTGCCATTTGTCTTTAAAAAAATGAATGAATGAATAAAAAAGTACCTGCATTTGTCATTTTGAATAAATGTAGGAACTAACCAAGGTAATTTACTCAATTCAAATCTATAGCTGTTTTTGTTTGTTTGCTTTTGGCCAGTCCTGGGGCTTGAACTCAGGGCCTGGGCTCTGTCCTTGAGCTGCTTCTGCTCTACCACTTGAGCCAAAGTGCCACTTCTGTTTTTTTCTGGATTATGTGGTACTGAGGAATCAAACCCAGGGCTTCATGAATGCTAGGCAAGCACTCCACCATTAAGCCACATTCCCAGCCCCTATTTGTTTTTGAGAAAGAAAATGTCAGCCTCTTTGTAAATGTACAATTAATGTAGACATTGTTGGTGCTTATTAAATGTGGAATTGAAAATGTCAAACTTAAGTTTCCCAGGAAAAAGTTTGCTTCATTAATAGCCAGTTTAGCATAATTTACCCAAATAGTTTAAATCATTACTTTTAAACTACTAGTTTAACATTACAAAGTTATAATCTTCCAAAATATTAGTTGTCTAACATAAGATGTTTATGTGAATGGAAGTTTGACTTTGGGAATCAGCCATGGAAAAACTGCAGGAAGGATCTATACAAATCACACTTTGATTCCAAGTGTGAAAAGCCAGTGGTATAAATTTAAAGGGTCTTTTGTTGATCTAACATGGTTGAGATTTCACTTTAGTGAGCACTGTTTAGTCAGATGCATAGTTCTACATTAATTCATTAACTGACTAAAGTTCTTTCAAATAATCTAGATTTAAACATAACCTTTAAAAATGTAATTGGTGTTTGTTTTAGATATAAATGGACTATTGCCCATTTATCTTAGGGTTTGAGGAGACATTCATTTCAAAAGAAATATAACTTATCTGGACCACATTATAAAAGAAGGGATGATCTATATTAGTATTTAACTACAGAGGGACGGAAACAGCTAAGTATTGAAGTAGAACTCTTCACTGAATGATCTTCAATTTTCTATCGGGCAGGAGGACCCATACGGAAACAGGCACCAAGAAGTTAAGAGTTTGACCCAGACTCCCACAATGAAGACTAACACATCTCACCCTGTCCCCAGCCTGGGAGAAGCTGTGTGGTCCTACAGGGTGGTTTCACCGTTGGCTTCTCTTCCATAGTCATCTATGTCTGTGAAGTCGTAATCAGATTCCATTTCTATCTTCACCTGTGGCACCATGAAGACAGGGTTCCGTGGATAGCTGAAAGCAGGTGAAGCTGGACAAGAGATTTTGAAGTGCAAGGTGATGCTGAGTGAGGAAAAGTAGGAAGAAAGAATGATTATGTAGTTGGGGTGTTTAAAACACTATCCTCCCAACTCCAAACAGAGCTTTAATGAAAATAGTCCTTTTGCTAATGAACTTTCTTAGGTTAGAACTATCATACACTAAGCATATAAACTCCTAATGCATCCCTGGGAACAAAGTGTTCAATCTCCTGAGCTTTCAGCCATAGTCACTGAACTGATCTCATGCAATCTATTCTTTAATCCATTACCAAAGTGAATAAATCATAAATTTGACTCCCCATTGTTCAAAGGAAATCACATAGACAAATTCCATAGCACGGAGGACAAGGACCTCGGGACCTGAACTCCTGCCTATGTTCCTGCTTTGATTGCTCACCCATCCGGTATTTGCTCTTTGGCTTGTGTGAATGTTTTCGAATAGTGCTTCAAGCATTCTCATTGCCTAGAAACACTTGTGTGCTCTGCTCTGTACATTGGGTAGGGAACTAGGGTCCTAGATTCTCCAGACAATCTCTCCCTTAGAACCAGCCTTTCTCTCCTGTATACCATTATTAAACACTGAGTCATGTCTACCTGTCACTCTATATCCTCAGAAATCAAGCATCATCCCCGGTAGATATCTGGCGCTTAATATTTGTGAAACTACATTATGCTGCTAAGCCTTTGCTTTGCCGAGGCATAATCCTGCTATTTAGTGGCTTTTGCTTCCTTCTGTTTTGACTTAGTGTAATGTTTTATTTTGATACTGAGGCAGTTGGGAAGCAACATCTTTAGTTACCAAATTTTCTACACTTCTAGTTCCATGACTAGTTTTACAGGTTTGGGGAATTGCTCTATTGGGATAATTAGAGATTCAATTTATAAATCGCTTTTCTCCTAACAGGAATTTAGCAAGATCAGTGGCTTTCAGGGAAAAGGAGCTTGCGTTAGGCATGTGGAACTAAAGGACACATAATTTGGCATATGATACTCCTAGGTTAGAATGTCCTTAGGCCTGCAGCCCAAGGTTGACTTGTAATTCCTGATGCTGGCAATATGATAAAAGTTCCCCTCATAATTCAGGAGATCTCGTGTGCTTCCTGTAAAGCATACATACATCTAAGTCTGAAGATTTATCTGCCTCTAGACAAGGTAGCCTGTGATCTTACTAAGGTTGGATCTAACACCACCGGATACCTGTCCATTCTAGGGCACATGGTAGGAGGGGGACTGCCCCCACCAGCTTCCCTAGTAATAAACTGATACAGGCTTCTGTGGCCCAGATTCTTTTTTATTTTACAACATCCTGTATAATCATGAAGTAGTCCCCCTTTATTCATGTTAGATTTTGGTCATGAACACCAAGTAATCACATTGTTGGCTTGGAGGTTCTAGCATCTGGGTCTCAAATCCTTTCTTGGCTTCCTAGCTCCACTTAATCTTTATTTTTTTGTTAGATTTGTTTCCCCCATATCTGATCTATGATAATTAACCCGTTGTTATTTTATTCCATACAGTATTAAAGTGGTGTTATCATCCTTAACATACATTCGTTCTGCCATTCAGTAACAGGTACTTAAACTTTATGTCTAGTTTTACTGTCTAGTTTTATTTTTTCAATATTCCATGCAATATTTGCAGTAAGTCCCTGTATTAAAGTTGAATACCTTTGTGTGTTTTAACCACATTGTGGATGTAATAAGAAGACTCATTTGTTTCTTGTCCCTAAGGTATGAGGTGACTAATCATCCTCTGTCTCCCTGTGTTGTGGCATCAAAATCCATAGTGTGAAATCCTAATCCCTCAACCTTCTGGACATTGCTTAGTGTCTTATCTAACACCCAGGAGTCTCTGATCCCATCCTGAGCCTTTACCTTCGATCAAGTTCTGAGCCACTGAAGGAAGAATCAGAGTGAGTAACTCCAACTGGAAGATCTTTTTCCTGGCAGGAAAATTTAATGTCAGATGTGAAACAGGTTTAAGTGAAATAAAGAAGAACATCCTATTTCTCTAACCCCTCCTCAACCATTGATTTTGTTTATTCTCTAACCCTAAGTACAATACTATATTTAAAGGGAATATTGAGGCCTTTAGAACGGAGTTGCTTCTGGCTCAGTTCTTCACACAGCAGGCTCTTAGCTGGGTTAAGAGGGAGTGAGGCCCTTGGAAGAAAGATCTGGCAATACTAGGATAGAGAATGGTACTAGGAAATCCCCAAGGGAACTGAGGGTGCTGGTGGGATCCCAGGTAATCCAGCCATAACTGCTGTCTTTGAAAGCGCAAAGGAGCATCAGGGTCAAGACACAGGCTGGAGCTTTCTAAAGACTCCACCAGTTGGGAGGGATTAGAATGATAGACTTTCACAGGGTCTTTATAAGCAATCCTCCATCCTTCCCCCGAAGCCTCCCCTTTAGCACATGGCAGGTACTTGTGACTTATACTGGGACCTTCGGTTCTGACTTACCATGCAGATATCTACCTGTTTCTCTAAAGGTGGAAAATGATTTGAGTTCTCAATCAGTTCAACATCCCCCCAGAAAATGACTGGCTCGGGTGGCCATGTTAGGATTCCTGTGTTCTGAAACCTTTCAGAGGAGGCCAAGTGGGGCCAGAGATGCCAAAGGAAAGGCAAGAATGAGGGTTTAGCTTTGAGTGAAATTGGTGCTAGGAATCTTCAGTGTGCTTTGAGGTTCCATTTGATTGATTCAGTTTTCCTTTTGATTTGTCTTGAAACTGAGCCCTCTAGTATCTAAAATGATCAGATTCCCAAGTAACAGGTTTTAGAAGTTCTTAAGGGAATAGATGGAGGATTAGTAGTGAATAGGAAGGGAGAAATACCAGGTGTTTTACTTACTGGCAATGCAGTGGATACCATTTTGGGGATCTGATTGGACACTTTCCATGGGAATCTTTATAACTGAGGGAGGAAGGAACTGGGGCTGGAGAAAAACAGTGGGAAAAGCTGATAAACACCACCAATATAACCACTTTGGCTTTCTTGCCAAAGTGGAAAATGCATGTATCTACAATGTGCAGATTGCCATCCTCTTCACATCCAGACCAAGGAGTCAGGGCGCTGCTAGCACCCAGAGACCTGGAGGGCAGTGATCACTGTAAATCCACTTTCTAGACACCCAGGGAACGGTTCAGAAGGAACTTGTCCTGGGATGTCACTCCTCAAAACAAGTTTCATCTGGTATATAGCCAGTTGTTGGGAAAGAACTTTGCAATGTTCCTTGTATTGCTACAAAGATGTCTGCAAGATGAATCTAGATATCTTGAATTCCATTCTTTCACTGACTATAGCCTATAATGCAGAGATGCTTTTCCCACACCTCCAACCCCGGTGTAGTTCCTGTTTTGTGAAAGCTATGCAAATATTTATTGAATGAACCAGTGAAAGAATAAGTACTTATTTTTAAAGACACTTGAACTCCTTGTTTTCAAAATCTACCTTTTCCAAATTTTCTCTCTGTCCTGAAAAAGCACAGTAATTAAGGGCCAGGGGAGTTTTCACTAGTCACCACCATCAGAGGATGACTGAATCTCCACCAGCTAGTCAGCAAGCATTTATCAACTAGTCACCAAGGATTTGCCTATGAGCAGCTTTCATTTGCAAAAGGTGAGATGACTAGAACAAGGTAGATGAGTTCAGGTCAGACTGAGAGACTAGGAGCCAGGCATGGCATTAAGAGATGACATGGGGGGCAGTTCAGTATACTGGGAATCAAGCATCAAAGTCAGGAATGACTTTAATTCTCTCCTAGACAGTCAGCTATTTGCTCATCATGGGAAAGTTACTTCCCTTTGGGGTACTGTGTCATCATTTATAGTAAACATGAACCAGATCATCTTTTTATCTATTTTTTTTTTTGAGATTTACAAAAGCTTCTGGACTGGCTCCAAAACACTCACAGAGTGTTTTGTGGGTGGGATGTAGAAGATGAGAGAAGAGGGGTCGATGGGACAACCAGGTGGTCCTAGGCATCTGGAAAATGTCACTCTCCTTTCAGTGAGGACACATGCTTCTTCCTCACTTCATCTTAATACCTGAGGCATATTCGATTCCTGAAGTTCAGTCTACTTGTAAGTTCCCACCAGGCCCTTCTCCCTAAACCTGTTCCAGTCTTTGGGTGTCCTACATGTTACAGCCATCTTTCCTCAGGAAACTGCACTGCTGGTTGATAACTCACAGGAATGGGAGAGTGGATTTGTTCAGTCACCTGTTTTAAGGGTCACTGGTTCTGGCCACCCTGAAGATATTCCTAGGAACCGATGGACTCTCAGCACCCCAGATCGAGGCAGGAAGAAGCCCCAGCTCATCCTTGTTTGAGTCCAAGCATTGTTGTAGGCCACCTGAGAAGCCACCCCTCCCTGGCTGAGGCAGAAGTGAAGGGAGGGTCTCTAGACCACTCCCCTTTGCCCAAGCATCTCATCTTTCCCACCTCCTCATCACTGTCCTCGTGGGCCCCTTTCCTTTTCTTCTTCTTGTCTGTCTCCTTTTTCTCCTTCTCTGGGAGGATGTTGTCAATCCAGGCCAGATCATGCTGGGAGAAGATGAAGTCCAGAAGCCTCCGAACAATGATAAGGCCTAGGATCTGTGGTGGGTAGACAGAGAGACTGAAGTTTTGAGGAAGCTCAGAGAAAACCATTGTCTATGCCATGCTTGGCTCTCAGTCTCTCAGTGGACCTGACCTCATCCACCTTGTTCTATTGATCTCACCTTTTACAAAGGGAAGCTACTGGTTGGTGGACCTTAAGCCATGGGATAGTTTTTCTCTTGTATGAATTTGGGTACCTTTTGTGTTAATGTTTTTGGAGCCATTTCAAAGTTTCTACAAATCATCATTCACTTCTACCTAGGTCCCTCTCAATCTAGTCTTTCTTCAAGTTAGCAGTTACTGAGAGGGATAGAACCTGTGACAGTTAAAGTGGAGACCATAGGTTGGAGAACCAGTTTTTCTTTCTTTCTTTCTTTCTTCCTTCCTTCCTTTCTTTCTTTCTTTTCTTTTCTTTTTCTTTCTTAAATCAATTGTGGGGCCTGAACTCTGGGCCTGGACGCTGTCCCTCAGCTCTTCAGCTCAAGGCGAGCACTCTACCACTTGAGCTACAGCGCCACTTTCAGTTTTCTGGTGGTTAATTGGAGATAAGAGTCTCATGGGCTTTCCTACCCAGCCTGACTTCGAACCTTGATCCTCAGATCTCAGCCTCCTGAGTAGCTAGGATTACAGGAGTGAGCCACCAGTGCTCAATTTCTTTCACTTCTCTCTCTCTCTCTCTCTCTCTCTCTCTCTCTCTCTCTCTCTCCTCTCTCTCTCTCCCTCTCTCTCTTAAATTTCAGAGTTCTATAACATTCACAATAGTCAAAGAAGTTCTATATATCTTTCTCCAGCTCAAACTTTGTATTGTTATTGGGGTCTGAAATTCTTGATCCTGCTCTTCCCTTAGGCCACCTCACGATTTCTCCTTTTATTTTTAAGTGCTCTTGAATGGGATGCCATATTTGTCAAATTCGGTTACTTTGCTTTGTAATGGATTTATTCTTCGTATGTGTCTACTTCTGAGAAGAGTGTGAGGTTTGGCAGTGGGGAACTCCTTTGCAGGTTGAGTTTGTCCTTCGGCCCCAAGCCAGTCCCTATCCCAGCATGGACACTGGGTGGCTTTTGCCCTGACCTTACACCTGGGTTGTCATTGGAGGGGTGCCTGCCACAGTGACATTCTTCCCTCCACTTCCTCTTTACCCTCCAGAGTTGTATAGCACCTGGCCTGGCCTTAACCTCTCAGCTAGTCCTGCTCCAGTGAGGCAGGCAGGCAGGCCTTCAGTAGGATAGAGGACGGCAATGGAAAGTGAGGCAGTTCGGTACTGGCCAGACCTCCTAACAGACTCCTGCACAGACCCAACCTGCTGAAGTGGGGGAACCTGAGCCAACTTTACCATGACTGGGAAGATGATGGCAGCCATGGTGGACTTGAGGATCCAGAGCACCGCCAAGCAGAGGATCTGCACAAGGGTGAAGAGGTGGATGCGGCGCAGAGGCACGTGGCGCAGGAAGGCATAGTCTGGCTGGTGCTTGGCAGGCATCAGGAAGAGCTTGCAGCGGTCCCAGAACTGGTGAGGACAGTGCAGGGCTCAGCCAGGCAAGCCAAGCCCTGAGGAGATAGGGTTGGGGTACAGGGTGTGCGGGATGGGGGAAGGCAGGTGTGAAGGCCTGCTAGAACCTGAGACTAGGGGAAGGGGTGTCTTGATAGGGAGCTCAAAGAGGTTACTCCTGATCAGACCTTAAGATGCACTACAGGAGAGGAGGGGAGGAGCCCTAGAGATAGTTGCACAATGAATGTGGTCCATATTCAAGGAAACTGCAGCACAAGCTATTCAAGACATCTGGGATTTAATGGCAAACAAAACATCTTCTCTTTTTCAGGGCTATCTTCTGAGGGGGTGGGTGGGCGGGCAAGTGCAGTGAAATGCTCACTGGAGTTAGCTGAGTTTTGAGTTCTTAGCTTCAATTTCCCCATCTGTAAAATGGGGATCAAGTATCTACTTATATGGGTTAAATGATATAACACCTTTCTAAATAGTTATTTTACCTGACAACGTACTTTACCTGGTAAATGATGGCATTATGAGTACTATTATTTTAAAATGGAGGTAAACATGGAAGGTAGACTATAAGTCACATCATCCTGGGAGGGAGTCTTACCTGGATGCCATTCAGAGAGGCTACACCCATGTAGAGGAAGACTCCATACAGCACTGGCATGGGGATGTACTGAAATGAGAGTTTGGGGTTGGGACTGGGGTAGGTCTTTGGATACCTGCTCTGGACAAAGATGCTCTCAAACTACCAAGGCTAGGAGCTGGTCTTTGGAGGCACTAAGGGTCTGAAAGCAGATCTGGAACCAGAGAAGGAGTAGACAGGGGGCGGGGTAGGGGCGGAGGAGGAGGAGTGGGAAATGAGGGTTGCTGGGCACCACTGCTCCCTCTCTAGCTAGGATAGCTAGCCTACCTCCTCTCCCAGCATGTGGTCTGGCTGAAGATACTCCTGAAAAGTGGGAAAGCCTTATACACTGCTGTCTGTTCACTCTTGCCATTCCCTTCCCTTGTCCCCTTCAGCCCCCAAAAGTTGCCCAGCCTACAGGGGCTAATGACCTACATCAGCAGGGCCAAGACATGTACTAGAAACCACACATCATGCACAGACATGAGTGAAGCAAAACAGAAGCACGTAAAGTAATCATAACTACTCATAACTACCAGCTAAGAGTCTGATGGGTACCATTTCTTCCAAACACAAGATATATTTGTTTGCTTTTTCAAAAATGCAATCATATAATTCATACTGTTTTGTAATCATGATTCAAATCTTCTTCTTCCTCCTCTTTTTTTTTGTGTGCCAGTGCTACGCTTGAACTCAGGGCCTGGTTGCTGTCCCTCAACTTTTGTCATCAAGGCTAGCACTCTACTTCTTGAGCTCAATTCTACTTCCAGCTTTTTTTGGTAGTTGATTGGAGATAAGAACCTCACAGACTTTCCTGCCCAGGCTAGCTTTGAACCACAACCCTCAGATCTCATAATCCTGAGTAGGTAAGATTACAGGCATCAGTCATCAGATGATTTTTATTTACACTAAAATGTAAAGCATACTGGAATGGAACTCTATTGAAGGAACTGGTACAAAAATAAGTGCAATTACAAAGTGATATAGGGACACAAGAACACTGTAAGTAGAACCCAATTTATACTCTCGATAACTTACAGTATCAGCAAGGCCACCCCCCCTGTTGGTAATATAAACAAGAGTTAAAGATTTCAGCTTCAGTGTTATCTTGAGTTGACAGCTCTCCAGTGTTATTTCCCCTCCTTCTTTCTTTCCATCCTTGCCAGGAATGAAACCCAGTGCTTTGTGCATGCTAGGCAAGTGTTCTACCACTGAGCTGCAACCACAGCCCCCAAGATCAGTTTTACAGGTCGAACACGCACGTCTACCTAGGATGACAGCAAAAAGTTAAATAACAAAAAGTCAAAAAACAAAAAGTTAAATAAAATTTATAAAAAGTTATATCGGTTGGAAATAAATGATGATGAAATCTAGGCTCTCACATGTTCACTAAATTATGTTTTGTTCAACTAGTTACATTATATTTTTTTCCTTAACGTAGAGTCAATCTGGTATTTGGTACTTGTGTCATCCAGTGATAATGTTTTAATCACTTAACTAACTTTTTTTCAAAGAACAATGAATATGTTTATTACATAAATTAAGATAGGCAGGAGGACTTAATTTGCCTCTTCGGGCCTTGATTTTTCCTCAGGTAAAACACCAACGTCTTGTTCTCTAACTGCCTGTGTGGACACATTGGCAAAGTCTTGATACACTGAAGACAAGAAGTTTGCCTTCCTCAAGCTGTGCCTCTAGACAATTGATTTGGGCTTATTTTCCTTTTATTATATTTCTTTTGAGCCTTAAACTAGCCTTAAACTAGTATTTGGATCAATGTGGACCTTTGAAAACTTGCATAGAAAAGTCATGGAACAGGTACAGCAATATTTAAAATTTTCTCATATCTGGCACTTTCTACAGCCTATTTTATAAATACATAAATTAATGTAGTAGAAATGCAGTTCATAGTTTGAAAGCATTATAGCATTTAGGTAAAAAACTACAGCTGAAAGGGAATTTCCATTGTTGCTCAAAATGTGAAACTAGAAATGAGATCATACTTTTTTTTTTTGTGGTTCTGAGGATTGAACCCAGTGCCTTGCAAACACTCAGCCACTGAGCTACAGCCCCCAGCCATCATTTCAATTCATTTAATTACACTGCTGTGGGCAAGCTACCCCTATTAAGAAAATAGACAATATTAGTGTAAAAACAAAAAATTACTGAAATGAGATGTCAAAAGCCTAGAAAAATATATACCCAGAATACAATCAATGTGTTTACAAAAGAACTGATGACATTGTAAATGGAACAAAAGAAGGGAAGCTGTAGGGGATTTTTCTGACTGCTTTGTGCTCCATTCAAATCCACACAAAAGCTGATGTAAAATCGCTGAATTGCTGAACACACTTACAGATGGGGCAGAGCTCTGGGATCACCTGAGGTCTGAGGCTCTATCATAGGGACTCTGGAGCTTCTGACAGCTGGTATTTATAGGAACTTTGGGCTACTAAAATATGCTATCCTTAGGCTAGGGGGTTGTTGTTTTCATATTGACAGGAATGTTTGTCAGACAGTAAATATGAAGACTGACATATACAACAATTCTTTGACGCCCTTTCCACAAAATTAAATGTTTATTTGCTATTTAAAATAACTTGGGCACCCATAATCCTACCTACTCAAGAGTTTGAAATCAAGGTTCACAAAGCTAGACAGGGCAGGAGAGTCTGTGAGATGCTTAATCTCCAGATAACCAGCAAAAAGCCAAAAGTGGAGCTGTGGCTCAAGTGGTAAAATGCTAGTCTTGAGCAAAAAAGTTCAATGATAGTGTCTAGTCCTTGAGTTCAAGCCTCAGGACTACACACAAAAACAAACAAATAAATAACCTTCTTAATGAACAAAATGCCTGCCCACCTGTGAATGATGTGTTTCCTGAACAATAGAAATATCTCTTTAAAGGCAGTCAGTCTTATACATTCTGCTCCAGTATACCCAACACCAATTATGAAGCCAGAACTATATTTTGTATCAATTACATTATGTTTTTTCAGGTTTTGTTTTTATAAGTTCCCACTCATGAGCTGTTTTGCAATATTCAAAGGAAGAAAATGGCACAACATGTTACCCTAATACCTTAATACAAGAAAAAGTCTAATGTGGTACTGGGTATTGAACCCATAGCCTTGCAAATGTTAAGCCAGCACTCTGCCACTAACATGGCATTAATAGAAGGATAGGTGGTTGGATTCAGGGCAGGATAGAGAATGGAAAGACCTGTGGGAACCCCCTTCCCCATTCTTGATCAGAAAATGATAGTTCTGGGGACATTCACCTTGTATGTATCCTAACTGTAGATAGTTTCTTCCATCTGTCCTGGTGGGACGTGAGCAAGAGGAATTTCAAACTGTGTGGGAAAAACTCATTTATGTACTCAAGACACTTGAGACAGAGGAGCAGAGAACAAGTTTAGAGGAACTTGGGAAGTTTTCTGCTGCAAAGTTTAAACTTCAGAAAGGAGCAAACAAGAAAGAACAGCCACAAACCACAACATGGACACACCCAGCTCAGGAAGTTCTTGATCTAAGCAGGGACAAAACTGGGCAGAACTGTCTGAGAGAACAATGTCTTCCAGGAAGGTAAGAGTGGATGCTGGGTGGGGTGGATGAGATTTTGGTCTGATACGATTTTCAGACAATGTGGCCAGGAGTAGGGTGCAAAGCCTTACCTTCAGGATGGGAGCCAGGAAGACAGAGATTCCCGTCAGGATGAAAACAATGATGCCAGTTACTCTCTGTTCCCTGGTGGAGAACAGCACACTGTCAGAGGTGACTCACCAGATGCTCAGTGACAATTTCTAGCCCCATTTTTTCCATGGGCTCTGAAACTTGTGTCCAAAGCCATGACCTCAAAGAGCTTCTCCATTTGGCTTTTTCCTATAGCCTGAAACCTTTCTGACCCACACAAGGAAGACAGGGAAGCACGGGGTATCTTATAGGGACAATAGGAAGGCTGGTCAGAAATCTGCTTGATAGCTGGGGTGCCGAAGCCATCAAACTTGGTTTGAATTTTGGTCTGCTACTTAATCATTACGTGGCATCAGGCAAGATGGGCCAAATAAATGAAAGTAACAATAACATGTAGTCGAGGAGACCATTGTGGTATTTAGTACCTACTACCCTGCTGCTTGGCAATATGCTCCTCACTCTTGTGGACCACAATGGGTGAAGATCTAGGGTAGAGACCCATCTACTGACAGAGCAGGTGCCAGGGTTGGGGTAAGTAGGTTGGCCTGAATGTCCAGACCCTGACACAATCTAGGTTGGAGCCCTGAACTCCAGGAACAGATTGCTTAGGTCCAGGAGCTTAAAGATACTATCTTAAGTAGTCATAAACCCTCAAATTAGCCTAAAAGGCAGAAGGGAGAAGTTTCCAGGGAAGTCATTAGAGAAATGTCAGGGTCTCATTTGGCTAGAAGATGTGCTTCATTCCTAAAATAGCTTGGGGACCTGATTTGGGACAAGGGAAGGAACAGAAACAGGCCAGGTCCACAGGCCACACAATGGGGGTGGACCCAAGAAAGCTTTCTGAATGGAGATTGAGCAGAGAAGGAAAGCCCAAGAGGACAGGTAAAGGCTCTAGCAGAACTTGTTAGGTGAGACTCTCTTTAGGTCAAATGTATTTATGGGAATGGGTATGTGCACTACTGGGAGACTACTGAACAAAAAGTGCCATGTGGAACTGAATTCTTCCATTTTTCCTTCTCTCCCTTTAGGTTATCACTCCCGTCAGCTCAGTTCCTGAGCTGTCAGAGTGAGGAGCCCAATATCCTTGATAGTAAGCAAAACCACTTCTCCAGCAAGCTGGTTTCTCCTGTTTGATTTATGTCCTGTCCCTTCCTACCTGACCCCCAGGAACTGAGGCTGCTCCCCAGGGGCGCTGGTCTCCGTTTCCATCTTGAGGCTGTCAATGTGGGCGATGGAGATGACTGTGGCAGCTACGTACCAGGGGAGCCCCGTGAAGGAGCACAGTGCCATAAGGATGCCCACCCAGAACAGGTCCAGATGGTAGCCAGCAGCTTTCTGTAGGGGCAAGAAGAAGGAGAAGCTTGTGGAAACTTACTCCTTCTCAATGTTGCCATTTTATAGAACAGGGTTCAAGGGCTCTCCCTGCCTTCCAGTGTGTACTCTGAGGTGCCCCTGACGAGGACTTCAGAAGTGTTGGGTCTCACCACTCCCAGAGGTGGCTTCAGCTGCCACCTTACCTAAAGGGTAAACCAGGTTAGGTAAAGGAGGAGAAGGATGTTTAGACTTGGAAAGGCTAAACATGTTTAGGCTTATTCAGGCCTTTGGTTCCCTAAGGAAAAGGCCACTGTTCCCACCCGGCAGCCACAGTATCTCTACAGTTCCTGGACAAGGGCTCCCAGCTAGAGCAGGCCTTACCTTAAGCCTAGAGTATGGTGGGACAGGAAGTCTGAGTTTCTCATACCCATAGTGAGGGAGGGGAGTTTTGGTAGAGGAAGAAGGGATGCTTTCCTCATGATTTAAGACCTAATCCTTACCAGCATCTTCTCAGATTTCCAAAAATTACAGAGGTAGAGGGAACTTTGGGAGAGGCAAGGAGCCTATGCCCAGTTGTCCAGCTTGGGCTTGGTCTAGTCCTCAGACCAAATCACCCATGACCCTATTTGAGAGGCACATCCCACCCATCCCATCCACTTCAGGTGGGAACTTTCAGTGTGTGCTCTAATTATGAAAAGAAACATCATTTCCCTCTGCCATTCATTCTGGCTTTGCTCCTAACACCAGCCTTACCCTCAGCTTGTTCTCCTTCCGGTTGACAATGACAGCTGTGATCTGCTGGTCCATGAAGATCAAGATGGTCACCAGCAAGGCGGGCAGGATGCTCGCCAGGTACACCCACCACGGGTTCTTCCCAAAAGGGGCCACGAACCAGCCTCGGTCAGGCCTCGTGGGCTGGGTGGAGCAAATGGAGAGGGCCCTTTCCTCTCTCCCCTTGTCTCAGGCATTTGCCTGCCGGCCCACTCTCCCACCTGGGTATATGTTTCAGGTGCAGTATTTTCCTTACAAACATTAGGCATGTGCAACTTTAAAGATATCATGGAGGCAGGCAGACAGACATGGGAAGGGGCATGAACACAGCTGGGGTCTGCAGAACCAAAGGATACTTAGCTGCATCTGGGATCGATTGGAAAACAGGGAGGGAAGTTTCAGAGGGCAGCCAGGAGAGGAGTATGCAGTTACTATTTGCAAAAGAATTAAAAGCAAGAGACCCCAAAGGCAAGAATAAAGTGTTTATAGGTCCAGTGTCTGACTCTTCACTTGTCTAAGGACTATTCTAGAATTGTCTGTAAAACACCAAACATCAATTCAGACTGCATGTTGAGGATAAGGGGTTATCTGTGAAGAATCTGACATTTATCTTTTGTGTTATTTATGAGAGATACAGCAGGAGGCCAACGTGAGTTGTACAGAAAGTGTTCAAGCTACTCAGGAAAACATATATAATAAATATAATATCTAAAGGCCAATGGCAGGGAGGATAAGTTTGAACTTCCTGCCCTAGTTAGATGGTTGCTACACTTGCAAGGTAACTGATCAGATTTGAGCTTAGCTGTACGCAGCTCTAATTAGTAGTGGGACATTTCTGAAGCTATGGTTCTCAATGTAAGCATACCCAGAATCACCTGGAGGGTTTATTAAAGTGCACATTACTGAGCTCTGCCTCAGTTTCCTAAGATCTGATGCAGAACTGAGAGTTTGCATTTCTAACATTTTCCCAAGTGAAAAATGATACTGTTCCAGGGACTACATATTAGAGATCATTGTTCCATGGAATCTACTTTAACAGATCCCAATTGGCCCTGTTGGTGACCACAGGACAGGGATCTAGAAACCCTCAAATGAAAATCCAGAGGCTTCAATTGGGCCAGCATTTTCTCCAAAGATACATATTAAGATTTCATGGTGAATTTGTCCCTACCCACTTATCAAGGAACCAGAAGCTGGAAGGAGAGGAATTCACATAGCAAATCACTAGGGTCTTTTGGCTGAGGGAAGAAAGTCTAGTGAGTATAGAGGAGAAAGGTTCTGCAGCTAGTGGGTAAACAGAGTGAGCATCCAGAGTGGTGTTAGGGGCAAACCTTGATGACATTAGGCACGTGCAGTTTGGGGGTTTCCAGACCAAAGCAGGCATCAATTCCACAGAACATCAGGATGGAGAAAACAATGGAAAAGTCAGCCACTAGGGCCCGGACCTGTCAAAAGATGAGGAGCAAGTGAAAGAAAAATCTTCTGTGCTCCATCCAGGCTGGGATCTCAAGTCAGCAGGCTCAAGCTCAAAGCCTGGTTCTGCCCTTTGCTAGCTGTAACCTAGGGGGAGCATGGCATCTTTCTGAGCTTCAGCTTCCTCCTTGGGAGACAGACATAATGACAACACCCACCTAGAGATGCACAAATAAGCTATGCATGTACAGAGTGGTTCGGATGTAGTGGTTAGAGTGTGTATTGTTAGGATGTGTGTGGCCCTGATGACATGTACTGGTGTGACAAATTGAACTCAGCAGCAAGGCAGGGTCTTGCTTCCTACCCTGACATGTACCTGGGCTACAATCTACCTATTTTAGATTAACAAGCCTGTGTTAACTAGCTCAATTTCTGCTTAGTAAGGGATCTTACAAACTTTGTCCTACCTAGGCTGTCCTCAAATCAAGACCCTTCCAACCTCAGGCTCCTAAATAGCTAGGATTACACACATAAGCCACCAGTACTTGGCTATATCCTTCTATATTAAAAAATAAAACTCTGGAGCTGGGAAGGTGGCTCAGTGGTAGAGCGCTTGCCTTGCATGCATGAGGCCCTGGGTTTGATTCCTCAGCACCACATACGCAGAAAAAAAAAAAAAGCTGGAAGTGGCACTGTGGCTCAAGTGGTAGAGCGCTAGCCTTGAGCTGAAGAGCTGAGGGACAGTGCCCAGGCCCAGAGTTCAGGCCCATGACCGGACCCAAAAAATAAAAAAATAAATAAACTCTGGTCATTCTGTTGATGCTTTTCTGTCATCTAGTGGCATCCTTGACAGTGTTCTTTAGAGAAAACACTGGTCTAGACTTGGAGTTTACTATTGCCATAGATTTTTATACTTTTACTAAATGTATGTATATACCTCAATAAAATATAGCATTGCTACATTTGAAAATTTTACATAAATGCTAGCATATCTGTAATCTTCTGCAATTTGCTTTATTTTCTCATTATATTTCTTTTTTTCCTATGTTCCTCTCTTTATACATACATGCATGTATGTAGGTATGTGTGAATATGTATATTACAGTTTAATGTTTCCAGGATTTTTCCATTTTTTTATTCTGTCAATGTATAGAGTCTGATTGTTTTCCTTTTTTCCTCTTAGAGTCAGTGTTTATGTGGCTATTATTGCATACATGTGAGAGTTTCTCTGGGGTGTACTGGAAATGGAAATGTCATCCTCAGCTCTATTGGAGGAGCTCATTAATCTCTAAACTGAATGTACCAGTACCACTTTTCATCTCCAATACCTGCCATTCCAAGACCTGCATATGTTTAGATGAGTGTGAAATAATGTGACCTCATACAAGTCCCAGGAGGCAACAGTACATTTATGTAGGGGTGTGTGTTTGTGCACGGGTAGGCGTGCGCACATGCGCCATTCCTGGGGCTTGAACTCAGAGCCTAGGCACTGCCTCTGAGCTTTTTCCACTCAAGGCTATCATTCTACCTCTTTTTTTGGGGGGGGGGGGGTCCGGTTCTGGGGCCTGAACTCTGGGCCTGGACACTGTCCCTCAGCTCTTCAGCTCCAGGCTAGTGCTCTACCACCTGAGCCACAGCACCACTTCCGGCTTTTTTCTTTTTGCTTATGTGGTGCTGAGGAATCGAACCCAGGGCCTCATGCATGCAAGGCAAGCGCTCTACCACTGAGCCACCTTCCCAGCCCTCATTCTACCTCTTGAGCCACAGCTCCACTCCCAGGTTTTTTGGTCATTAATTGGAGATAAAGAGTCTCATAGACTTTCCTGCCAGGGCTGGCTTGGAACCATGATCCTCAGATCTCAACCTCCCAAGTAGCTAGGATTATTGGCATGAGCCACAGGCACCTGGCATACAAGAGAGTAATTTTTAAGTAATGTGAGAGAAAAAGTTTGTGGTTCAAGAATTTCATACTATGTGTATTATTTTCATCCTGCAAGTGTTTTCACTAGGAGGAGACTTGGAGGTAGGAAGGAAACCTGTCTTGAGGGCACATTTGTGTCACATGCACACTATTATGCTGAATTTGTATATTGTAAAGCTTCCTAGTATGACTTTTATTTATTCTTTCAAAATATTGAGGAAATACAGATAGTCAGAGGTTTTATTATTATTGGTGGCCATAATGATATTTACTGAAGATGGCTTTAGGAGAGCACTGTGAGGCAGATGCTATGAGAATGTCGCTCAGATTCTTCCAAGTACCCTACCCTATGACACAAGTTCACATGTGCAAACAAAACATGGGACTAAAAAAGTTGCAGTTAACATTTATAATAGCCAAAACAATCAACTACTTAGGAAAACAGCCAACATGAGCGAGGAAAGATCAAAATAAATGGAGTATACCATATTCATGAATCAGGAGTCTCAAATTTGAAAGACACCAGTTCTTCCAAAATTGTCATATAGGATCAGCATAATCCTATCAACATCCCAACAAATGTCTAAATTCAGTGACAGTGAAAATGATTCTAAACTTCACTTGGAAATAAAAAAGCCAAGATAATATTGTTAAAACACAAAAATGGAGATTTTAGCCTATAAGATAAAAAAGACTCATTATAGGTTGTAGAACTAAAGACTTTGATACTGTTATAATTAAAAAGTTAAATAGAATTTTAAAAACCCATAAACTGATTATTATATAGTAACATTGGATATATGGCAAAGAAAGCCTTGCATCATGGTAGAGAAATGAACAATGGTCTTTATATATTAAAAAGTACTGACTGGAACAACTGGCTATTTATATAAAAACACAAAGAAACATTATCTCACATTACACATCAAAATCAGTTCTGATAGACTGTAGATCAAATGTGAAAAGAAGAACAATGAAGCTTTAAGAAAACACAGGAAGATTTCTTTGTCCAATATTTTCCTTGTAGAAAACTTCACTGTATCTGGGTAAAACTAAGAATTTCAACATATGCCATTAAGATAGCCAAAAGGCTAGCCACAGAATGAGAAAAGATATTTGCAATCCATATGATTACAAAGTGTTTCTATCTATAATATATATAAACTTGTAAGTCAGAACAAAAAAGAATGCAGTAGATATGTGCAACAAGTTGAAACACTTTCCAAGATGAAAATCAATGGTCTAATGGCCAATAAATACAGATGTTTTCAAATTGATCAGTCATCAGGGCAATGATAAAAACTTTAAAATACAATGAATCATTTCTTCACAAAAGGCTAAAGATTAAAGTCTGAAAATAGTGTGTTGTCAAGGGTACTTGAAAAGGGAATCCTGTTCTCTGTGAATCCAAAATTTGCATTCTTAACGTGTAAAAACTTCAGTGCCAAGTGGATATCCATCATGTCATGAGACAGGGACCTTCCTAACAGTGCCTGAATATAGATCCCTCTTAACTGCAGGGTGTGCTTACCTTGGTAGGAAAATAACGGCTGAATTTAAATTTCTTCAGTGTTAAGGTCATGGAATATGTTCCGAAGAAAAGGATGAAGGACATTAGTGCCAGATCTGGGATGAATTGGCATGAGTTTCCCAGCAGGCGGCCACCATAGCTCAGACACTCCTTCTTGCTCAGCAGGGACCAGTCCAGAGCTGTGAGGTTAAGGGGGTTGTACTTGAAGACCAAGCACAGGAGAGAAAGGGTCAGCAACTTCCTGATGGGTTAGATGTGTATCCTAACTCCCCACCCCTGGCATTGGCCTAGACAGCTCATACACCTACCCACACTCAGAGTCACAAGCCCTCCGATCTACAATGGAACCCTCAGCAACAGAGTAGTGTGCCTGGGGACAGACTGGCTCAAGGAAGCACAGGCAGGCAGCCCCCGGGAAGATTAGGAGCTAATACACGTTTCTTCAATGTGTTCTAGGATGTAGGGGTTTGCGAGAAAGGAGGAAAGAACAATGCTCTTTTCTCCGTAGGCTTGGCTCATATCCTAGTCAGTCTATCATGGGTCCTAATGATACCTCCTTCCTGGAGCCAGGAAGCCACTGTATACAGAAAACAACTGGAGATATGGCTTAGCAGTAGTGGTTTGCCTAGCAAGCATGAGGTCCTAAGTTCAAACCTCAGTACTGCCAAAACAAAAACACAATACCACCAAAATAAAAATAAATAAAACGTTCTCTACAGGCCAGGTATGGTAGCTCATATCTGTAATCCCAGCTACCTGGGAAACAGAAATTGGAGGATCAAAGGTTAAGGTCAATCCTAGACAAAAAGTTAAATCCTTATCTCAATCAATACGCTAAGTGTCCCACAATAAAATAAATACTCCTAAAAATGCAAAAAAAAAAAAATAAGCTAAGTCTAGTGGCACACAACCACTGTTCCAACTACTAGGTTGGCATAGCTGGGAGAATCTTAATTTGAGGCCAACCTGGGAAGAAGCTTGAGACTCCACTAAAAATAACTATAGCCAGAAGGGATTGGAGGCATAACTCAAGTGGTAGAGTACCTACCTAGTAAGCATGAGGCCCTAAGTTCAAGAACCAATGCCACCTAAATAAATGTCAAACAATAGGTTTAAAAGTGGAATGTTCCCTGAATTTATCATTCCTTCACTGTCCTTTAGGTCTGGCTCTATATCTGTTTCCCAATTTGTTTCTTACGATTTCTTGCTCAGTCTCCCAGTGTTACTCCATCTTATCCATACTAGTCCACCCACAGTTCTCTGCACAAACTTTGTGCTTTTCTTCTCTCTTTGTCTATGATATCTATTGGCCTGGAATATGCTTTTCTCTACAGATCAACTTTCTCATCTTCAACATCAGAGTGAATTCCACCTTCTCCACAAGTCTCTCCCTGCCCCCTTCCATCAGTCTTCTTCCCTACCTCCAAGGTTGGAAATATGTGTATGGCCTATATTTAAAGTATGGCATGTTCTGTGTTTGTGCTATCTCACAACTTTTCAGGTTCATCTCCACAAACATATCAAAAGTAAACTTGAGCACTGGGTGCTGGTGGCTCATGCCTGTAATCCTGGCTACTCAGGAGGCTGGGATCTGAGGTTCAAAGCCAACCTGGGCAGGAAAGGGTATGAGACCCTTATCTCCAACTAACCACCAGAAAAACTGGAAGTGGAGCTGAAGCTCAAAGTGGTAGAGTGCTAGCCTTGAACAAAAGAGTTAAGAGACAGTGCCTAGGCACTGAGTTCAAGCCCCACAACTAAATAAATAAACAAACAAATAAACTTCAGAACAGAGGACATATTGTTTCATTCATTCATTCATTAATAAGTTGCAGTGTTAAGTGAAAAAACCAAGGGCTCTGAGCTACACTTCAGATTTTTTTAACCTTCAGTACACACAGCATCTTGCATGTAATAGATGTTGAGAAATGGGAACTACCTGATGCTGTGCTTCCTTCAAGTCTTTGTAGAACGCCAACTGAGATGTGTGTAGGTAGAGCCATCAGAAACACTAAACGCCTACACATTTCCCCCAAGACCTATCAAGTGCTAACCTTCTCTTGGATTTCAGCATGTCATCATTAGACCCACTTAGGCTGAGACACAGATAGGAGCCTCTGAAGGCCACCACATATCATTATTGGGAAAGGTAAACCAGACCTAGGGTGGCTAGGGACTAAAGGAGTACAAAGGACAGGTCCTGTTCATTACGGGATTGGGGGGGGGGGGGACAGAGAGGAACAAGAATAAGGTTTAGGAACTAAGGATGGCATTGCTGGGTGGGAACTTGGGCTCCTACACAACTAAAAGCTGGAAGTGAAGCTTTGCTTACACACGTTTGTGTGTGTGTATGTGTGTGTGTGTTTACCAGTCATCACCTTCATTTGTAATATTATATGTATGTACATGGACTTAATAGAAGGAGGCATGCTTTAAAATGCTTAAAATAAAACAAAATTATGCATTCACAAAGGTGTGCAGGTGCCCCAAAGTTGACCTCTGAGATTCTAGGATGCCATCATTGGTTTCAGTTTCCCAATTTTTTTTTTACCACTTCCCCTACAAGAAGAAATGGACAAATGTCAGATCTAAAAGGAAACAACTTACCAGAGACGCACTGGTGTTTGGTGCCAGTGGGGCTGAGGCATTGAACACGGTTGTATTCACTGTAGATGAGCACACAAGTATGGGAAAGGGTCATTGACTTCTGGGTAGGAAGACCCAGGATCCCCAAGAATCCCCACTCTTCCCCTTCCCCCTCCAGTGCCTCAGTGCCAAGGACTGGCTTCCATTGTGAGGGCACTCATCATGCCTCATCCCTCTTCACCTCCACTTTGCCCCGGTGAGGAAAGGATGGTGGGAACAAGCCTGGCTACAGCTCAGTCAGAATAGCTGGGACAATTAGGATAGCCTTGGCCTGATGGTAAACAACTAGTTTTAAAAAGTGCAATAAAGAATCCAGTGCGGAGACAGTTGGTGAATAATATGCCCCGTGAATCCCTACTGGCCACTAAGCCCATGTCTGTACTGCTAGACTTAAACATTCTTAGAGAATACATGCTATGCCATTCATCATGCCAAACACTTATAAAGATGCATTTACGAAGTTCTTAGATCCCCACAAGGTACTCTTTTTTACAGATGGGGTAATCATGGCCCATCTAGGTTAACTTCCCCATTGTCCAGGGTTCCATAGCTTATACTTGGAGCTATGACGGCAGCCCAGGCTGGCTAGCCCAGAGCCTGTAAAGGTCCAAGCTCTACCTAGTAAGCTTTCTTTCCCTTTCCCCATTTCATATATGCTTTTTTTTTTAAGGTCAGCTGGACTTCCGAGAATTTATTTGCTTTAATATTTTTTTTTCACCTACCCCTATTTTGTAAGACAAGGAGAAACTTCCTTGATCTAGGACCTGAAAGAGAATAAGGTTCACTTTCCTGCCTTGGCCTCAGTGTTTAACTGTAAATGGACATTTAAAGTTTCCTTCAGCTCTGTGGGAAAAGCTGAAAGAACCATAATCTGCCTCCTCTTATTTCCATGTGGCCTCTTCCATTACTCCTCAGTCTGGTCTCCCCTGCTTCCTCTGGTGGGGAGGGTTCAACATCATGAGGCTGAGCCCCCTAGGGGATGTGGCTTCTCATCACAAAAGTAGGCTTTGGGGGACTAGGGACAGCTGAGCTCTCCGCCCTTCTTCCTCCAAGCAGTTCTGCGACAGGTTTGAGAAGATAGGGAGGCCCACTAGCAGTTTTGCCACCTCTGAGTCTGAAATGTAGTGTAAGCCCTGTCTGTTCCTGTTGGCTCTCCATATTAAGTAAGAAACTCAGAGAGGAGATTAATATTGAGGCCTTCCCAGTCTCTAGCTAGCTGTCCATAGGGCCTGTCTAAATTGTTCTCTTCTGGGGTAGTTGGGATAGGTGAGGGTCTAATAAACTCAGTCTGGACACAGAACAAAATATTCCAATGAGCGCTATAAAACCAGAAGTTTGTTAGATTTGCTCAGTTATTAGAAATCAGTGATATCTGCTTCATTTCCTCACATCACTGACCAAGAGAACTTGATACCAAGTTAGACATTAGAAAGAGGGAGAAGCCTAGGCCAGGAGGCTGATCTGTAACTACCCACTCAAATGCTTCAGAACTCCCTACTAGTGCTCTTGATGACTTCTGGTTTAGGTTTATCAAATTTTTTTTAATGAGGGAGGAATGTTGAAGATTGAACCCAGGGCCTTGCACATGCTCTCCACCTCTGTGCTGTGTCTTCAGTTCCCATCAATTTTTTGTATCAAGAATTTAATAAAAATAAAAATAAAGACTATTTAATAAAAATAGACATTTAATTTGAGGGTCATGAGATGAAAATGGAAGAAATACAACATGGAAGGTTTAGAAAGGTCTCAAGTATAATACTGTAAAAGTCTAACATTCACAAAGTGGTACTCACGTGGGGTTGAAAGCAGCCAAATCAGTGTTTGCAGCATTCATAAACAGGATACAAATCAGTTACAATGTACACAAAATTAGAGAGAAAATGAGAGTTCATCCTTATAAGCTTTTATGAGGAAGAGTGACAAAGATGGTATGCTGTAGTAGAACTGGGTGAGACTGGGTTTTACAGGTACGAGAAGGAAACAATTAGAAAGTGAGTACCTCAACCCCTCTGTACAGTATTTTTACAATAAAAAACATATAAAAAAAGAAGTAAAACTATTCAGACTTAAAAAAAAAAGAAAGTGCCTCATAGGCTAGAAGAAACCACAGTTGCTTCCTTCCTCCCACCCTAGTTTCCTAAGTTTCTAGTACTTTTCTTTCCATGGTCTCCTAATCAAAACTAACCTGTCTTGGTTCCAGTTGTATTTTCCGTAAAGAAACAAGATCTAATCTTACTGGGGTTAGCAGCTCATAATGGTTCAATACTACCAATTAACATTTTAATGGAGCTGAGGTTTTCAAACTTGAGAGTACACTAGAAGTCTTTAGAAGGCTTAATGTACACATAGTTGGACAGCAGCATTCACTTGCAATCCCAGCTACAGTGGCATGTGCCTGTTATCCCCAGAAATATAGGGAAGTACAAGTAGGAAGACTGCAGCCCAGGCAGCCCTGGCTAAGTGAGACCCTATTTTGAACACACACACACACGCACACACACACACACACACACACACACACACACACACACACACACACAATGTCCAACCCGTAAGAGAGCTAGAAGCATTACTCATGTGGTAGAGCACCTGCCTAACAAGCTCAAGACCCTGAGTTCAATCTCTAGTACCTCTGGTGTGGTCTCACCTTAAAAGGCATGCAACCACATTGGCAGCAATGTGTTGGGGGGGTGGGGGGAGTGGCCATGCTCTGATGGGCCTGTGTACCATCAGGTTTACCTCTGACTTGGACAGCACTTCTGACAATGTGGCCTTCACAGTGATTTGCCTCACTCTCCACACTGAGACAAATCATGCCTTCCTCCTTCCTTGTGGCCTTATACTGCCTTACTCCTTCCTTGTGGCCTTTTACTCTCCTGACTATACCTCGGTACTGATATGGTGATGCTTATTAGGGCTACTGACCTTTTGAATTCCCCTCCCCCCAAAACTAGGGTCAGGTCCTTGCATTTTCTTCCTTGGAACAGTGAGTACGTGGAGGAAGAGTCCCTCCTAAGAAGGCTCACTCTCCTGCATTTGATAGAGAGCTATGGTGGTAGGGGAGAGTAGGTAAGTGAGTGGGGGCCCAGGGCATGACTGGGGCAACCACTCACCTGTATCTGGGGCAACACACTCGCACTTGTAGGTGGTAATAGAATCAGGCTTGAAGTCCATGTTGATAGGGTAGTACCTAAAGGCACCAATCATTTTCTTGATAGCATCATAGATGAAGATGAAGCTGATGAGGGTAGAGAATCCCTCCTCTGTGAAGCGAGTAATATACTTGATGATAAAGCTGGCATCTGTGGCTACCAGGATAAGGCACTGGATGGCTGAGTGTAGGCCAATCCAGAGTCGGAATTCCATGTAGTCCAATCCATTGCCTCTGAAAGACAGAAGGAAGTGAGGAGCCTCCATGCCAGGGCTCTGCCTGTGCATGGCTCTCCAAACCTACCCTAAGGAACTTAATCCTCTCCTCTAGAACAGATGCCAATCCAAGGGACCTAAGAACACTGGGGCAAGGACCATTTCTGATCTTTGGGAAATTTGGGAAAGGATCTCACAGAGGTGACAAGAAGGTGCTAAGACACTTCAGTGTTCATGTAGTTGGTAATAGACACCTAGAATGAATTAAAAAAAAAAGAGGAAATTTCTGATTCAGAGATGGTGCAGGCCTTAGAAATAGGTCCACACTTTAATCTTGTAGACAAGACAGTTGAGTCTAGTGTGATGGGGGCGCTTGGGTCTGGGTGCAGCTTTCTGACATCTTGTCTGAGACTTTTCATATACTACACTTATTTTCAAGTCCTAATTGGATTTCCTCCTCTCACCTCACCTGACTTTTTCCTCATACATTGAGATGACTTAAAGGCAGGCAGCTGGCAAGAGTCAGAAGGAGCATTCCCTGATAGCTCTTCCCATGGTTAAAGATGACTTTGGTACTGCCTCATCCCTGCCTCCTCTTGAACCTATTTCTATATCCTGGCCTTGCCTAAATGCAGACACAGAGGGCCTTATTGGGGCACCTACTTGCTGAAGTCAAAGAGGAGTTTCTCGAAGATGAGAATGGGTCCCGTGCTGCTGAGAATGATGAGAGGCTGTCCCGAGAAGAGGCAGAACAAGGAGCCAGCCATGGCAGTGCCCAGGAAGCTCTCCATCACTCCCTGGGGACACAGGAAGTGTGAGGCTTAGTGGAGGCAATAGAAGGGAGTTTCTTCACACAGACTGCAATGTAGCTACTTCTCCATGAGCCCAGATATATTTGTTCTTTCTTCTGGGCCCTTACCACTCAGACTCTGCTCCCTATATCCTATCCCCCAACTTTCCATCACAATTTAATTTGGATGATGATCCCCTTTGACTTCTTCTTTTTTTTTGTCAGTCGTGGGGCTTGAACTCTGGGCCTGGGCACTGTCCCTCAGCTCTTCAACTCAAGCTAGCACTCTACTACTTGAGCCATAGCGCCACTTCTGGTTTTTTCTGCTTATGTGGTGCTGAGGAATCGAACCCAGGGCCTCATGCATGCAAGGGAAGTGCTCTACCACTGAGCCACCTTCCCAGCCCTTTCCTTTTAACCTGTAAAACATACTTGTTCCTGTGTTCATCCTATTCCCATAGGACAGGCCATAGAATTGTTTATTTATTCAAATATGTATCTGGTGCTTAGAGCTTAGACTGTTCACCCACTCAATAACTATCAAGTATCTTCTATGTTTCAAACATTGTGTCAGATATTGGAGATTGAACTGTGAATACACTTTTTTCCTCTAGCAGAATATACAAACCAGTAGTCAATTTTTATCAGCAAACCTTTTCAACCTCAGTACCATTTCAGCCTAGATTATTCTTTATGGTGGGGTCTGTCTTGTGAAGTGTAGGATGTTTAGCAACATCTATGTCCACTACATACCAAGAGCCATCTTCTTCCCAATTACAAAAACTAAAAAAGTATCTCTGGATATTGCCAGATGTCTCTCAGGTCAAAATTGCCCCTGGTTGCGAGCCACTGTCAAAGACTGTGATGAGCCAGGGTGGGCTCTTAGTGGCTCAGGAGCACACAGAAAAAGAGAAGAGGTGATTAGGAAGGTGACTCTAGACGTACATGTATGGAAGACAAAACATGAGCCAGGATGGTCAGAAGAACAGGGTCAGGATGAGAAAGACAGCAAGTCTTTGAAGAACTTAAGATGGTCAGGGTGATGGAAAGTGAACTGTAGAATGTGTGAGGAGAACAGGAATGCTGAGAAAGAGAATACTGGCTTTATAAGCAAATAAGGCCATGCCATTAGGGTCAGTAAAGCTGGGATTTAGGAGTTAAGGGTAATGCCTAATTTTTGGTATAAACAGCTAAGGGAAGGGAAGTGTCACTTGTTATGTTAGAAAAGGCCCAGGGATAAATGTTAGGAGAAAAGATTATATATGCAATATTGCCTGTTTGAATTGGGAGGCACCAAGAGGCAGCCATGTGGATATGGTGGGAGGCAGCTGAACATGAACCTGAGCTTGGAAGAGATATGAGCTGGCAACAGGCATTCTTCTCAACTTATCTAGGAACATGGATTCTTTTCTTTTTTTGTCATGGGGCTTGAACTCTGGGCCTGGGCGCTGTCCCTCAGCTCTTCAGCTCAAGGCTAGCACTCTACCACTTGAGCCACAGCACCACTTCCAGCTTTTTCTGTTTATGTGGTGTTGAGGAATGGAACCTGGGGGCTCATGCATGCAAGGCAAGCACTAAGCCACCTTCCCAGCCCAGGAACATGGACCTTTTCTTTGGTGCTCTGAACTTTCTAATGGTTCTACCCCAAATGTCTCCATTGTCTAGAAGATAGGTAGGGCTGTCATGGCAATGTCTTACTAACTTTCATATAAATGTTTTAAACCCAAGCTAAGAAATCAAAGGTTTTTTTATTTTTTTAAGTGTAGGAAAAAGACCGCAACTAGCAAGTCAACTGATGTGCTAATTAAGTTCAATTAAGTTTCAGTAGGGAAAGTACCAAATAACAAAGTAGATGATTCTTCTTAAAAGTTTTTTGTGTGTTTTTTTCTTTTATTTTTGCTAGGTTTCCAATCAAAGGTACTAATTTACTTCCCCCCAAATGGTAAAGTTACAATAGATTAATGATTTTGCTATGTGTAGGAAATTGTCTCCCTGAGAAACATTTTCTAATTGTACAATGGAGTACTTTAATTTTTCTGAGTCACAATCTCCCTATGGTTTCCATTAACATTGAAACCAATTCAGATCCCTTAATGCTACAACCCCCAACCTCTTGAGATGTCTAGATGTTAAGTTCTTTTTTGAAAATGATACATGATTTAGAATGGGATTTAATTTTCATGAACATAGCACATCTTGTTATTTGTTCATTTGAGACAGGGTCTCATTATCCCAGACTGGGCTGGTATACCCTATACTAGCAAGACTATCTCAAACTTGCAGTCCTCCAAATTCCTAGGGTCACGATCAGCATTCCCTTTAAAAGTCTGATCATTTATATAATTCTTAAATGTCACCCTCCCTCCTTTTGGGGAAGGATTAGATAAAATGATGAGTTGAACCTGGATACAGTTGGTATTAGGATTATGAGTTAAAGCTCCCTATTGCCACAAGATGGCAGATGGTTTTCTTGATGCTTGCACTCACATCCCCAGCTCACGCATACCTGATAATTGTCGGTGGCATCCCCAAGAAGCCCACCAAAGGTGATCGCATTGGTGATACAGCCGAGGTAGATGAATAGGATGGCAGAGATGGACTGGAGGTGGAAACCATCATAGAAGTCACTTGGGAACCAGGGAAGCTTCCTCTTGACATCCAGACACAGTCCGCCAAAGAACCTGCTGAGACAGGCCCAAGAGCTGCTTTCTTCCCATAAACACTAGCAGGGACAGGAGTATATGAGAGCCTTTGGATTCTGGCATAAGGAAGGGAACTTCATTAGGGAGGGATGGAGATAAAGCTCTTTCAACCAGAACACTTAGGACCAGAAATAAACCTTGTTAGACTAAAAGTTTATAGTCAGAGCCATCTACCCTGGGGATGATGGACATAGCCAGTTTGGGAGAGGGAAGTTTTAGAGTATAACATCACAGGGTCCACAGATGGTGGACCTCTTAATGTCCCTGGCCATCTACAGGGCTCCTGTGTTTAATAAATACAGGTGTGTCCAACTATAGGACATAGAGACATTCCAGATTACAACACACATTTATTAAGGTGGGGAGGACAGATGCTAAACCTCACAACTGATTTCCTTGCTTTCCCAATTGTCTTTGGAGTTTTCAGTTTGGGAGGGTCAATGCTTACTAGAGATTCTACTCCTTATAGCCCCTAACCTGATACTTAGTGTAGCAGGAGTTCTGCACCTCAGTACTACTGGTATTTGGAGTGGCTAATCCTGCATCTTGCGCATTGTCCATGCTTTGCAGTGCCCACTAGATGGCAGCAGCAGTTGTGGCAAATGAAAATCTTTGGCCACTGCAAATTGAGAGTCAGGAAATAGAGAGTAAGGGGCAGGGGAATGAAAGAGAAGCAAAAATGTTTTCAATGGAGAACTATTGGTATAGAGTCAAGGACATATAAATTTTGACTTCAAACTCAAAATCATAATTTGGCACCTAGCTGTTAATAGATGTTAACAGCTATATTGTTTTTCATATCTAGATTGATCTGAGTGGTTCTAAGAGCTAACAAAGAAGCTAGGCAAGAAGACTTTTCCCTGTTCTTTAAAAAAAAATTGAATAGGTGATGTTTAAATTTTACTTTATTTTTTACTTATTTTTAAAATTTAATTTTATTGTCAAGGTGATGTACAGAGGGGTTACAGTTACATACGTAAGGTAGTGAGTACATTTCTTGTCAAATATTGTTACCCCCATATTTAAATTTTAAAAGGCAGTGTTATGAACTTAATTTTGTGTCTCACAAAGATATTCACAAAAGCCCAAACCTCCAGTACCTGTGAACGTGACTTTACCTGGAAAGAGTTTTTGCAGATGTGATCAAATGACAATGAAGTTATTATGGTAGACTGCAATCCAGTTCTGCTGGTGTCTTTACAAAAAGGGAAGAGTGCTAGTGGGCTGTGTGATGTCACAGCTGGAAACAGCTGCAAGCTGGGGCTGTCTCTACATACACTAGGAAGTTGGAGGAGGCAAGGGAGGATTCTATCTAGTCTCACATGGGGACATCTTCTTTTGGAGCCTCCAACATCAGGACTGTGAGAATAACTTTCTGCTATTTTGTTCCACCTAGGTCGTATACTTTATTTCCACAGCCCTATGAAACTAACACAGGTATTAAAGGATGTTTAGAGAAAAGTCTGTGTTCTTTCACTCCTCTGTGGAGCCTCCAGTTCCCCTTTCCTGAGTCAACCCTTCGCAGGATCCAAGAGGGGTTTTGAGCGCATTGAGAGGGAAAGACTGCATTGTGTGGACCTAAGGCCAGAGAGGGTACTACCCAGGGTGATGGGAAGGAGAGAAGTCTGAAGGAGAGCGGGGTCTCTGTCAAGCACAGGGTGGGCACCTTCCTGTCCAGATGAGCTCCTCCCCGATTTCGTGCATAGACGGCATCTCTGACTCATCCCCGCTGCCTGCTCCGCCTGCGCCGCTGCCGCCAGCTGCACCGCTGCCGCCTCCACCTCCAGCCCCAGCGCCTCCGCCCACAGAGCCATTCATCTGGCCTAGCTCAGCCAGAGAGAACACCGACTTCCTGGAAGACAAGAAGAATGGGGGAGAGGGACCCCCAAAGCTAGGAAAGGTCCAGCTCCTCCAGGACTGTCGCGGGAACACTCCTTACCTCTCCAACAAAAATTATGAAATACACAGAGAGACATGTAAAAGACGATCCAGCAACCCCTCCCCCCCCCACCACACACGGGCTACCCAGATTTTAAATTTGTTTACATTTAGCCATATTTGCTTCTGATATTTTACAGAGAAATGAAATGATACCAAGGAGGTTCCCTTTATCTCCCCTTCTGCTCATCCCTACCTCTCCACCCTTATACACACCTCTTGTCGGCAGAGGGCACTTTCTTGGGTGGCTCAATTCTGATATTTGGGTCCCATTCTCCAGGGGGAAGGACAATGACTTCATCCAGAAACTCATCGATTCCTGCGATCAGGTCTTCCCGATTGCGGGCTTTATAGGCCACACCGCTGAATAGCTGAAGAGAAACAAAGAGGGGGAGGGGAGGGTCTGCTTTTTTCCTGACATCCCCTTCTTATCCACCTCCCAGACTCACAACAGCAGTTTCAAAGGAGTCACTTGTAGCTACTGGTTCTGATGCCCACTCACTCTCAGTTTGGGTCATGAGAACTTAGCACTGCAGGGAAAACAGGGCTCACTGGAAAATAGCTAACACCCAAGACTGAAGACCAGGTCCCCATATTCTTTCTGTAGAACTTTGATTGAGTTACTGAATCTTTTTGATTGTAGGCTGCCACATAACAAGCACATTAGAAGACTTCTGTAAGAGCCCAATCCAAGATCATAGATTTCAAGTCCGTGATGGGGCTTGAACTCAGGGCCTGAGTGTTGTCCCTAAGCTTTTTCACTCAAGGCTGGTACTCTACTACTGTGAGCCACCGCACCACTTCCAGTTTTCTGGTGGTTAATTGCAGGTAAGAGGCTCATAGGACTCACTGGGAAAATTCTGTATTCTAAAAAGAACTCAATTATGATTAATGGCATGTAAACAGAAACGATCAAAATACACAGCAGAAAGGATCAATGGAATGTCAGGCAACTTGTGAGGATTCAGAATAGGGAGAATCCCCTTGTGACTTGGAAAGGGAGTGAGCATAGAAGGGGGACGATGAAGAATGAGAAAAACTACTGAAGAAAAGCTGTACATTATATATTGGACATCTTTCCTTTTACACACTGAGCAAATTTATGAGCTCTTCAGCAAAAGTGGTGACATAAAGAAGACCATTATGGGTCTGGATAAAGTGAAAAAAACAGCATGTGGATTTTGTTTTGTAGAATATTATTCAAGAGCAGCTGCAGAACATGCTATATGCTACATAAATGCAACTCGTCTGGGCGACTGGCTAATTCTCATGGATTGGGATGCAGGCTTTAAGGAGGGCAGGCAGTATGAACATGAGTGATCCGGGGGCCAGTTCTCTCCAGGTAATCCATCATGTCCTGGAACTTGTTTCAAGAATCCTAAGTGGTCTCAAAACTCAAGATCTTTCTTCCTCTGCTTTTCAAGTGTTGACTGTTGGGATTACAAGCATAATCCACCATTCCTAATAATTTTTTAAACCTTAGTAAAAAGGCTAGATGTTGTGTCTACAAAAAAAGTCTCATAGACTGTCCTGCCTGGGCTGGCTTTGAACTGTGATCCTTAGATCTTAGCCTCCTGAGTAGCTAGAGTAGCTAGAATTATAGGAATGAGCCACCAGTTCTTGGCCCATTTATTACTTATTAGTCCTTTACCCTTGGAGAGTCAGGTTTCATACTGTATTCAGAGTATGCTTTCTGGCTTACAAATATAATCAGGTTATATCTATTTGGGTTTAAACTACTTTAGGCTCCCCATCACTCTGGGACAGAATATGAGCTTGGCTCTGCTCACAGGCTCTGTATAGTCTCAGCTCTCTAGTGGCACCCCCCTGTCCTAGAAACTCTCACACTGAGCCTGTATTGAACTACTTCCATCTAGCTTCTCTGAGCCTTACTCCCTGTTCCTTTGTCTGGAATGCTTGCCTCATGAGCTCAGGGAGGTCCCTTCCTCCTTAGCTTTTTATCTGTTATGCTCATGTCGACTCCCTGGAAAGTCAGCACATAGTTAATTTTATTATGAATCTGTCTTTCCCACTGGATTGTTGCTCCTAAAGGACAATGGCTAGTCCCTGAATCTCACAGTCTTTAGTATGTGTTCAAATGTGCATGTTAGATAACTCAGTGGTGTGCAGGAGCCATTAGCACTAAGGAACATGGACTGCCTGTTACCACTCACATCATCCACCATGAGGGTTGCAATAGCACGGCCAATTTCATTGTAGGACTTTGCTCTCCCAGAAGGTCCCAGCAGTATGAACAGAAATCTGCAAAGAAAAGAAGGAAGAGGGAGGAAAGAAAGTAAGAAGAAAAAAATAGAAGCACTGAAAGGAAGACTCTTGGACCCTCAGCTGTTAACTCTTCCACATCCCTCCTTTGAGGCTTACATTTGTAGATGAAAAAGTTCCTTTTCTGTTTCTGCCAGCCAAACTCTCCCAAGACCTTCCTCGCTTTTGTCTTGCTGCCTGAGCCTAACAGCTTCTCTCACTGCCACTGCCTTTCTCTTTAATGACTACTTTAAATACTCTTAAATTCTCCCGGGCAGCACTGTTGGCTGACTGCATGGACAGCTGGCTCCCTGAAGACGGGCATGGTGGCAGGATTGGGTGACTCACCTGGTAGGAACAGGTACCTCAGTCACTCCCCCCAGCATAGCAGAATGGATGAGACGCACAAATGCAATGAATGGTTGGTCCAGGAAGTCCACCTCACCCACAAGCACATTGGAAGCTTCTGAGTCTTTAGGGATCTTCTTCATGAATTTGTTTTTCCGCTGCTCAGAGAGAGAAATGAGATACCCAAGAATATTCCACATGTTCTTACTTCCTCATCCCACTTCAGACTGCACTGAAAGTCTAACTTTAAGAAAAATTCTCATGCCTATAATTCAGGCTCCTCAGGAGGCTGGGATGTGAGGATCAGGGATTAAAGCCAACTTGGACAGGAAAATCCATGACATCCTAATCTCGAATAAACTAATCAAAATGCCCCAAATAGAGATGTGGTTCAAGTGGTAGAGAGCAATCTTTGAGGGGGAAAAAAAAAAAACAAAGTTCAAGGACAGTGCCAAGACAGGAACAAAAGCAAATGTATAAATTAGATATATACTTAGGCTTTCATTGTGAAATTTTCATACATGTTTATACTGTATTCTATTCAGTATCACCCCTGTGTCACCCTCTCTTCATCATGGTGTAAAATAGTTTCGACACGTTTCATTGTCTTATTATCACATAGAAACAAAAGAAAATTCTCCCAGCAATTCTTAAGAAACTGAGAAATAATCAAATTCTCTCTCCAGTTCTACAGATTAGGATTTTAATGTTGGGTAACCCCAGGACTAATCAAGCCTTTCTAGCTAGGAAGGATATGACCCTAAACACTTAACTGGTCTGAGGGGGTGCAGAAGAGTCCTGGGTCTTTCTGGATCTAGGCCTGGACTATAGCTTCCTTCACTGCAGCTAACTGGAATCTTAGCACTTACAAGGCCATATGCCTAGACCATTCTCTGGTGGCAGAGTGAACAATGAGGCTTGTTCTGATGGTCACAGGGGAGGCCTTGTTTTTCATTTTCTACCAGCGAACTTTTCGACTAGTCTCCAAGTTTTCACAAGACTTCCATTCCTTCAGGTTACTCTTCAGGTTAACTTCTGAGGCTTTCCAACTGAGTATCCCTCTAGTCCCTCTGAATACTGTCTGTCCAGAGAAGGAAGGTTAAATAGACAGATTGACAAGATCTGTTATAACAGTCAGGTATTAGAAAAGCCCTTGGCCCAAGCTTATTCCTACTGATGTTTATGACCACTTCTCCTGAGCTTCTTCCTATCCCCATTGAGGGGTCAGTTGTTGGAAAGGTAGATAAAGGAATGGCCAACAGGTCCTTTTCCTTTGTTCCCACAACTGTTTCCTGATATATCTCTTGGGGATGGGGATGATGAACACTTGGTTAAATGGCATGAAGAAAAGCACGTGAGCTAGGGTTGTATCCTCATAACATTTTAAATATAAATTAAATTCCACAACTCCCCAGGCAACCAATAATACCCTCAAGGATCCTAATAGTAGAAAGCAGGAGTTGACAGGAAGGCCAGAGGTTTTAGGTTCAAAAAGTCCCTTTATTAATCAGATGTAGCTGATTAGTCAAACCTAACTAACTAATAAGCATGTTCTTCAGAATGAATTGCTAGGCGTGTGAAGGCAGCCACCATCTATACTAGCTCCATGCTGCCAAACATCAGGTTGGATTTGGAGGTCCAGTGGAAAGGAGGAGAAGGTAAAATGGGCATGAGCGCTCTGGAAAATAAGGATTTTAAAGTAATAATACTGCATAGAGGCCCAACCAATTCACTTGTAATCTAAGAAAGAAGAGGCCTTGGTCCTTCCTTACAGGTTGGGACATATTTTGTTCAAGAGGGCTTAGTAGTGATATCCCAGGAATGGTGCATATTGGTAAAATGGCCGCCCTGGCTTAGCTGAACATGGGCTTGTTCAACCTAACCCCTCTCCCCCCAGATACTCTGGCCCAGCTTTGCACACAGAGTCTCTGCAGCACAACGTCACTGCAGCACAGCCATGCTATATGAGCCCACTCTCTGTTCACCAGGAACCCACAGGCTAGAGGAGGCATGGAATTTTGCTTTGCAAAAGCCAACAATGTACAATCTTCAGAAAGGTCCCTCTGAGCTTACACCTAAAGAGTACCCACTCACATTTAAACCACTGTTGCCACAAATCACAAATACAGAGAAGCAGCACTGCATATGAGGAAAAACACACTGGTTACCAGGTATTGCGTTCTTGGCCCCAAATCAAGGCCACACTGCCTGATGAAAGTGATAGCCTGTATGATTATGGCAACTCATACACATATTTAAATGGGTTGTGAAAGTCTTTTACTAGGTAAACCTTTCATGCCTTTGCTCCACTGTCCATGTGCATAACTATAACAATGATCATTTGTTTCTAAATATGTCAGAACACTGACTGGTTCATAAATTACTCCAAAATGAGTGCTCTGGAATCTGACTGCCTTGATCCAATCATGGTTCTGTCATCATTCAGTAGTATGGACTTGGGTATGTCATTTACCTGTTTTTAGCTTCAATATTATCTCATCAGCAAAGTGGGAATCACATCAGAACCTTCACGATCCAGACAGTGCTTGCCACAGTGTTGTATACTCAGGATGTGGCCTTTAAGTGCTGGTTCATGTCATTGTTTTTATTTCAGGACACTGATTTGAGGGCCTGATTTTACTTTCCAGCAAATTTGGGTGTACTTTGAAAGTACTTGAGGCCACCCAAGGTCTTGATCACTCCTCACCAAGTTTCAGGTGACCTTTGTCATCTTTCTTCCTACTCCTGGGGAAGGGGCACAAGTGAGCCTCCTGCCCTGAGCAGTGCAGAGTTAGAATTGTGGAGCCCTCCCTTGAGCTTCCTGGGGTGTCATGGTCACAGAGTTCCTGGCTATGGGACTTAGGAACTGGCCTTAACCAATTGTAGGATTCTAATCTCACCAAAGGTGTTTCTGCCAAGCTGGTAGGAGACCAGGGTAAATGTTCTCCCTTAGCTGAAGAAGACACTCTACAGGGATGTTCCACAAATTAACCACCACTGTCTCTCCATGAAGAGGACCTATTTCCTCCTCTCTGACTTCTCCAGTCCCTGTCTCTAAAGGTCCTCATGGGTCATAGGGGAGACTAAGCTATGTGCGTCGATTTTTTCTATCTAGTCCCAAACTCAGAGATAGCTGTCACTTCGTCCGATCACGTTCTCTGTTACTGACTGGGGTCTGTCACAGAACCAGCATCTAGGACCTAATACTGGGGAACTTTCTGGAGACTGCTACCCCTGCCTTCCCACAGGGGCTCTCTGCTCCCAAAGGCTTCTAGTAAGAAGCTTCCATTACAGCCCTCCATTACAACCAAGTGCAGGGGCTTTCCTACCTGGTCTGTGTTTGGGGTGCGGGAAATGTCATTCATGCTCCTGCTCTGGGCATGACCTAGGAAAGAAGAAAAGAAGGTTTAAAGGAAGATAGGCTCTTGTAGATCCTTTTCCCTTGGTCCCTATTCTTGACTCTCCCATGTACATAACCAGAGTAAGACACCTTCCCACTCAATCCTGCATCCCACTTAAGCTGGCATCCACTCATGGCCTTTCCCCTTGATGGCACTTTCTTGAACAAATAACTAAATTTCAGGTTTCACTTCTTCTGAGTTTTCCCTCTACTGCACTCTGGTCTCTACCCCTTTGCCACACCTTCTTTGTCTATACCAGATGCCATCTCTGTGCCAGGCTAGATGGGAGGGACAGAGATGCATGTTCAGAGGTATAGGCATCACTAAACTTGAAATTTGTTGGTGAGAAAGATGAGTAGTTAGGATTATAGGCATGAGCTACTGGGGTCTAGAACCTCATCCATTTTTAATCCCACTTCTGATAAGGCTTTGTACCAGAAAATAAGGGGGAATGATTGGCTTAGTGAAGGCAAAGTTAAAGACCAATATCAACATGCTCAGAACACAGGACTGGTATTGATTATGCCAGAACTGATTTAGAAATTCATTTTTCCAGAAGAATCATCTGGAACATTATGGTAGTAAATCAGGCCCTGAGGGCAATCCAGGCATAGGGTGTGGTGAGATTTCTCCTGGCGATATCCAGAGAATTTTAGATCATGGGCTCTATCTTCTCCATCTATGAAAATGTGGGCTTCAAACAGCCATGGCAGGCAGCACAAACTTATCACTGAGCAGCAGGGAATACACTCACACAGATGTCCATAATTTGCACTTTGCCTCATCCTCAGGTCCTCAGTGGATCGGTGTAGACTTGGGCCAGCTGTGGGGCTCCGGGCAGGGCTGCGATCTGGGAGCAGGAACAGAAGGACTTGGTTTCACAACCTTGCTGGTGTAGTATAGCTTCCAGGCTAAATCTATACCCATGTACAGTTACTTCAACTAAGCAAAGTGAGGCTATAAGAGATATCTCTTCCCTTCTGAGGAAGAGATTTTTTGGGAAAGCAAGCTAATAGTCTGAGTAAAATTTAAAAATAAAAATAAAAAATAAGATAGGAAAAAATAACTATACAATGGATTAAACTGATGCCCAGCACAGTAGACTGCCTGAATTGTTCACTGATTATACCACTGTCTGTGCAACCTTAGGCAAGTTATTTAGCCTCTCTGTGCCTCCAGTGCCTCATCTAGGGATAAGGAGACTAGCACCTACACCACAGATATAGTGAAGGTGATGTGAGTTCCTACAGGAAGGGCACTCCCACCAATGCCTGGAACATGGGAAGTGTTGTGCATATACCTGCAGCTATTTAGATATGTTAAGCACTTTCCTGCTTTTTATATACTTCATTTAAAGGCTTTCCTTAAGGGTTTTCATTCAGTAATTTTATCATTTTTGTTCTGGTGCCTGTAGTTAACTGACAGATTTACCAGAACCAGTGTCTCCAAGCATTTCAACTTAGATATTGAGAGAGGAGAGCTGGAAGGGGACAATACACTCTCCCTTAATGGCCCAAGCTCTGCTAAGAATGCCACCAGCTGCCAGATATACCAGCCCTGGCAGCTTGGAGGTGTATCCAGACCCTCCTGCCATCTCTATGTGCTCCATTTTCTGTTGAAACTCCCTGAATCTCTTGGGCATTCATGGGGAAAACCAGGACCTTTCCTAAGTGAGCACATCTAAAAGTATGCACATATATGGCGCTGGGGGTATAATCTCACAGAGTTTTCTAATTTACCTCTCTCTGCCAAGCCAAACTCCAAACTGAAGCCAGCATTCCAAAGTAGGGCTCAGTGAATGCAATGTACAGTCCAGGCTGAGCACCCAGGAACATTTCCTAGGTATTGCTCTGTGCTGAATGAGGAGATAGCATTGTAGTATAGCTGGGGTCCCCAGAAGTTTGCCAGCTAAAGATAAACTGAGGGATCCCCAGAACCTCAGTTTCCCCAGGATAGTAAAGACAGTCCCAGACACCAAAGTGGGCTTACTTGAGCTCACATGGGGCCTGATATTGCTCCCCGCCACCTGCTCAATCCCCACCAGCATATAGCCCAACTCACTTGTGGTAGAAGAGACTGACTTTCCAATGTCCACTAAGGAGCGGTGGATGGGCTTCTTGGTTTGGTGACGATGCTTCCTCAGGAGGACGTAGCTGACCCGTTCCCGGAGCTCTGGCCGCAGAAGCCCGTCTTCAATCTGCTTCTCAATGACATCATCTGAAAGGGAAACAAGCATACCTGGTCCATGTGGGACAGAAGGGACCCAAGGTGTGGAGGTTTTCTGTTTCGCCTATGATTAGTGGGATTGAAAGTGAACTAAAAGCGGCATGGGACACAAATAGTCCTGGCTTTGCTGCTTGCTAGCTGTGAAAACCTGGATATATCACAAATCCTCAGCCTCTTCATGTACAAGGGTGTGTGCATGTCTTTATGGCTGTGCAGGCATGTATAGAAGTCTCTGCTCTTTCTATAAATGGTGTGAAAAGCAAGTGAGATAGTACATGTGAAGGTGCTCTACAAAGCACAAAAGTACTTTATCAAGTGATTTGAGCCCTAAAATGAATTATATTTAGAAAAGCACTTTGACCACAATACTTCTGGCAAAATCAAATGAGCTAGGACAAAACTCATTTAAATTTCTAGGGACAATAAGGCAAGCCACCTCCTACTTCTGACATTCCACTAAGTGAGAGCCAATTTCCTAGAAATGATTATCCATTTTTCCCTGAAAAGAAACAGGTTATCGTGACAACAGGTGTTTTTGACCATGCGAGGAGCCCTTCTCCCTTTTTGCTACTTTGCTGGGTGGAATTTCAGAGGATGATCTCTTACTCAATAATAGAACTCTATGTGATACTAAAACTTGGGAGTTGTTGGGACAGTGCCTGAGGGGCACCAGAGCTAGTCACCTGGCACAGGCTAGTCACCTGGACTTGCAGGTGGGATCAAGGTGGAAGGAGTTTCCCTGGTTTGTGGAGACCACAGGAAAGATGCCTGCAGTGGCCCTTGCCTCACCTATGATCTGTGGTAGGGAACCACTGTCCAGATCCAGCAGTACTGTCCCTGTCTGCAGGCAGGTACGGAGCTCGAAGAGGCTGTGCAGGGACAGTGTGGACACGTGGGGCTTGCTCCAGCGTTCGCCACCTTCCTCTACCTTTTCTTCAAATTTTATCCACCTGGAAGAGGTAAGGATGAGGCTTAGCAAGGCCAATGCCTTCAGGAGGAGGCCCTACCCAGATCTCTCCAGCAGATATAGGCCTAAGGACCCATGGGGTTGGGACATTGGTCCTAGACTCATAGGCAGAGTCCTAGGCATCTCTTTTAGGGATGTCCTTGTCTGTCCCCACACTTCTTGATGCTGTCATGCTAAATACAAGGTAGACTTCAAAGAATAGCCAAGAATTAGCATGAGGAATCTTTCTGGGGGTAAGAGACATGTTTTAAAAATAGAGAAACAGTGATAGATGAACAATTCATATTTATTAAACATAAAAATATACTGACAAGGCAGTTCTAGTAATTCTGGAGCAATTTTATAAAGTCTCAATTGGAACCTGGTTATTCTAGGTTGATCACTTGTAAGGGACCAGTATGGTTTGCTGGGAGGACCAAAAGTATTTCCTCTGGTTCTGATACAATAAATGGGGTTTCCATACTTCTTACCCTGTGATTTGACTCTGAAAGTTCAGGTTAAAATCTAAAGATCATTTGCAGAAAGAAAGAATTTAAATGAAGGATGTGTAGAAATTTGTTCTTTCAAGAAGTCCAACAATCACAGACTGCGAGGGTGATGAGTGGGGCAGAGGCAGCACGGGGCTGTGCCTCCCTGTCAGAGGCAACTCCAGCAAGCCTCTAGCCAGAGGGCTGCCAGGGCGCCAGGTGTCCTCATGGTAGACTCTTAGCTCACTTTTGTAAGACATCAACCTCATATTGGTGGGTAGCTTTCATCTGTCCCAATTGAAAGCTCAAGGGAATAGTTTTGGACCATGACTATCTAATTCCAAACTTCTCTGAAAAAGCAAATTGCAAAGAGTTGAGGAAAAATTTTAAGGTTAAGATAGGGGGATGAGGGCTGGGAAGGTGGCTCAGTGGTAGAACGCTTGCCTTGCATGCATGAGGCCCTGGGTTCGATTCCTCAGCACCACATAAACAAAAAGAAAAAAAGCCGGAAGTGGCACTGTGGTTCAAGTGGTAGAGCACTGGCCTTGAGCTGAAGAGCTGAGGGACAGCATCCAGGCCCAGAGTTCGGGCCCCATGACCAGACCAAAAAAAAAAAAAGATATGGGGATGAGACATAAATTAGGACATATAAAAACTTGCTTTGAAAAGCTTGAGTAATGTAGTCAGATATAGACAAGGAGACTAATGGAAACAGACTTGAGTACTCATGAGAACTTGGGTTTTGATGAAGGAATTGTTTTAAATGCAACCAACCTAAAAATAAAGCTTTAAATACTTTAAAAAAAAACTGAACATCAAAATAAATTCTTCATGGATTTGATTAATTGCTAACCTTAAAAATTCTCACCCATGGGGCTGGGAAGGTGGCTCAGTGGTAGAGCACTTGCCTTGCATGCCTGAGGCCCTGGGTTCAATTCCTCAGCACCACATAAGCAAAAAGAAAAAAAGCCGGAAGTGGCGCAGCTCAAGTGGTAGAGCGCTAGCCTTGAGCTGAAGAGCTGAGGGACAGCACCCAGGCCCAGAATTCAGGCCCCACAACTGGACCCCCCCCAAAAAAAAATTCTCACCCAAAAAAAAAATTCTCACCCATAGCAAAAACGAATCTATATAAAAATGTAAGAGTACTAGAAGAAAATGTACAAGAGCATTGATTTCTTGGAGAAAGATATCTTTAATAAGACATAAAAACATAAAGTATAAAGAAAAGCATAAAACTATTCATTTGATTACATAAAAATAAAACAAAAAGTTCTGTATAAAAAAAAGACATTAACCAAGTTCAGAAAAAAGGTAATGTACCAGGAAAAAATGTTTCTAGCACAACCTCAAAAGATGAATATTTGTAATATAGTTCCCTTACATTAATAAGAGACGCTCACATTTTCCAGTAAAAGTGAAAATTTCTGAAAAGAAATTAAGATGACAAAAAATGAAAAATGGGTGCTGGTGGCTCACACCTATAACACAGCTACTCAGGAGGCTGAGATCTGAGGATTGCAATTCAAAGCCAGCCCAAGCAGGAAAGTCCATGAGAATCTTATCCCCAATTTAGCTGCCAGAAAACCAGAAGTGGAGTTGTGGCTTGAAGTGGTAGAGCAATAGCCTTGAGTGAAAGAGCTCAGGGACAGTGCCCAGGTCTTGAGTTCAAGCTTCATGACCAACAGAAAAAAGAAAAAGAAAAAAAGAAAATGGCCAACTTCACTAGTAATTAAAGGGTTTTTTAATTAGTAAAAATGAAATATCATTTTTCATTTCTCGTATTGGCAATAATAAAGAAGATGGACAGTGCTCGCTTTGGCAGCACATATACCAAAATTGGAACAATACAAAGAAGTGTTCCATATTTTTACATCACCTTTACAACAAAAAAGATAGACAACTTTCCACATAGGTGTAAACTTGTACACATTGCCACACATGTACTGCAGATCTAATGGCAAAGCTTTCTTGATGTTTGCATGCCTTTTGACCAAGTAGTTCCATTTCTAGTAGGTTATCACAGGAATTCCTTAGGACCGGCTCTGTCAACATTAGCTAAAGGTAGAGTAGGATCTTCAGAGCCTTCTCTTTATGCTTTAGTTGTCCTAATTGTGTGACTAGAGTCTGTTTACCCTTACTCTATACCAGTGTATATCTGTATGTCCTTATACCTGTATACCTCCCATGTACTTTAATATATATGAATTCCAGCAAAATGGAGATTTTGGTCAGCAGGCCTAGGATAAGAGTCCAAGATTCTACATTGCCAACAAGCTCCCAGGTATCTGTTTTCAGTGTCTCATGACACTCATGAAGAAGGCACTACTTCCTGTTTCCCATTGACCAGCTAGTGGGTCATCTCTTCCACAAGGCCTATATGTATGCTGCTTATTTCAGCTATAACAAACACCCAAGGATGGTGGCTCGCAAATGATATCATCTGGAAAGCTTGCAAAAGTATAAAGCTTGCAAAAAGCACAGAGTTTCTGATTTAGTGTCTTGAGGTGGAGGAAGGGTTCTCACGAGTTTGTTGTCAAGAGTTTGATCCCCAGGAATAAATTTAAACATTTCAGTTAGGGATGGTGGCACATGCCTATGATCCCTGCACTTGGGATGATAAAGCCTGAATTTGAGGCCAAGGGTCTGATGTCCAAGTTATATCCTAGATGAAATTATATACCAGCATATCTAGGATAGGGCCCAGGCTTCTCTGAAGTATTACAACTTGTTCTAGGCAAAGTTTCTGACTTAGGCTTAGAGCCTAAAATAAAACTTAATTATAGTCAATTTACTTTCTAATTACTTTAGTATACAACAACTATACCAGACATTGGACTCCTTAATGTTTACTCTCTAGCATCCCCTGTCCAGATCAGCCCTCATTACATGCTTGCTATCTCCTGTTTGAGAGTGAGGACTTACTGATCACTCTGAGTGAAGTTTGGCTTTGAAAAAAAATGACTAAGATAAAAAGAGCTTGGAACCTATGTGTTTTAGTATACTTCAAAATATTCAGAATGGTCTATACAATGATACACTCATAGTCCAGTATCATCAACCACATAGGTGCAGAGATCAGTGGGGCATGAGCTGCCCTCTGGTGGATGTGTATACCACCAGCTATGAAATAGTCTTGTAGAAAGTCAGACAGGGCCTAACAATGAGTTCACGGGAACTATAGAGAGAAGAGTAACATGCCAAACACTACTACCACAGGGACGAATGAAATGAATGAATGAAATTCACAGTGTCAAAAACAGATAGGACAAAGGATGCCACTTTCTTCTATATTAAGTGTAAGGGAGAAAATAAAGGAAGGGAGGTTATAACCTTAAAATGACTTCAGACGTGTTTTCTGATGCAGTGTGTGGACCAATTGTACTTTTAAAATAATAAATGAGATGATCTAGAGAAAATGAATACTTCCTGCATAATTTTATGAGATTAAGGAATTTCTGATATTTCTTTTCAGATCTGCTATGGTTCTTTTAGTTCTATTGAAAAGAAAGAGACCTTATCTTTTAAAAAGAGATACAAAGCTGGGCGTGGTGGCTCACACCTGTAATCCTAGCTACTCAGGAGGCTGAGATCTGAGGATTGTGGTTCAAAGCCAGCTCAGGCAGGAAAGGCAGTGAGACTCTTATCTCCAGTAAGTCACTCAGAAAACCATAAGTGGCACTGTGGCTCAAGTGGTAGAGCACTAGCCTTGAGCTGAAGAGCTGAGGGACAGCGCGCAGGCCCAGAGTTCAAGCCCCATGACTGACCAAAAAAAAAAAAAAAAAACCAGATACAGAAACATTTACAGATAGAATGATTTAGAAGCTGGGATTTGTGTCAACATGAGCTAGGGTGTATATCCAGAACAATGAGTAGGGGCAGAGGAACAAAATTGGCTAGGAATTAGTAATGATTGAAGCTGGGTGATAGACCTATGGGGGTTCATTTTATTAATATTACTTTTGTGTGAATTTGAAAACAAACAGCTGGGATTTTATGCCTATAATCTTAGCTACTCAAGAGGCTGAGATCTGAGGACTGCAGTTCAAAGGCAGCCCAGGCAAGAAAATCCATGAGACTCTTATCTCCAATTAACCACCAAAAGGCTGGAAATATAGCTGTAGCTTAAAGCTGTAGCTACAGCTTAAAGCTGTAGCTAGCTTTGGGCACAAAAGCTCAGGGACAACACCCAGGCCCTGAGTTCAAGCACTAGGACTGGCATGAAACAAAACAAAAAATACTTAAACATGTTCTAACTTCAATAAAGAATTGAGTTCGTTAAAAAGTCTCTGGTCAGGGGATGGGAATGTGGCTTAGTGGTAGAGTGCTTGCCTAGCATGCATGAAGCCCTGGGTTTGATTCCTTAGGACCACATAAACAAAAAAGCCTGGAAGTGGCACTGTGGCTCAAGTGGTAGAGTGCTAGCATTGAGCAAAAGAAGCTCAGGGACAATGCCCAGGCTCTGAGTTCAAGCCCCAGGACTGGCCAAAATAAAAGCTTCTAGTCAAAACTAGTTTTA